ATTCACCATATGGAAACAAGTTTTTCAGCACCATTTATTAAAGAGGATTTCTTTCACTGAACATCTTTGGCTCCTTTCTCAGAGAGTATGGGTTGTATCTGCATCTTTTTTGTTCCAATGGTCCTCAAGTCTGTTTGCCAGTACCATGCTAATTTCATCACTGTAGCTTTGTAGTATAATTTCAAGGCAGGGATCGTAATGTCTCTTGCTTTGCCTTTGTTGCCCAGGATTCTAGGTCTCTTCTGGTTCCAGATGAATATTAGGAATGTTTTCTCTAGACCTCTGAGGTACACTAATGGTATTTTGATCGGGATTGTATTAAACCTATGTAACAGTTTTGGGAATATGGCCACTTATATGGTGTTGGTCCTTCCTATCCATAAGAAAGGGTGTCTTTCCATTTTCCAGTATCATCTTTGATCTCCTTTTTCAAAATCCTGTGATCTGTAATGTATAGATCTTTTACTGCCTTTGTTAGAACGATTCCTAAAAATTTCAGTTCTTTGGATACTGTTCAATGACTATGACTCTTACATATAAGGGTGTTATCCCTGCTCCTCCAGAATCTTCCCTAATTGCCCAGGAAGACTTATCAATTCACCAAAAATAAAGATTTTCTCTAAGTGCCCCTGTCTGCCTACCTCAGGTAATTGTATATCAATAAGATCTTCCTCTACCTGCTCGGTAATGATTAGCCTTGAAATAAATATATACAGAGAAAATCTGCCCAAAAAAGGTACACACATTTTAGAAAAACTTTTATCAGTATTTTAATACTTTATCTGTGGAGGACCCTAAAGGATGTCCTGTATCGCAGGACACTACACTGCTACCCTAACCCACTACACTGCTGGCCCTTAGAGAAGAAATTGAAAATGCATGGGCAGCAGTCTTAGCGACCAAGGTGACCCATGCAGCAGCAGTTCAATGTACTAATAAAAAGCTAAAAAGCTTTTACTTTGAAATTCAGCAACTCTTCAGCAATACAGAATTGCTGATCCACTTTTGGATTTTTTTCCTTTTTATTTAACAAGCAAATGCCTATGACAGAACCTTTCAATAAACGATTCCTTTGTTTCAACAAATCATTCAAGACTAGCCTGCCTATCAATATATGACTCAATTCATGCAACCAATTATGTAACATTTTGCCCCTTGCTCTGTATTTCCCACTTCTCAATCCTATACAAGCTAAGCTCTCTATAAACTCAAGGCTGTTGCCTTTCAGGAATTATCCCACAAGGGATAAATACTGCCTTCTTATCTCCTCAGTACTAAGAGTCTTCCTTTTGGTTTGGCTTGGCTTGGCTTGGGAATTTTCCCACAACACTGCCAGCAGGCATTTGGACATAGTTCAGTACAGACTAGTTTGAGTGGCTCTTAAAGACTTGGGCAGTCAGCTTCCTGGGTGCTAAAGATGTCTGAAGGCCCAGGTATGACTGAAGGCCTTACAAAGAATTTCACAGCAATGCAAGAGTGCTTGTTTTTATACCTTGTACCTCATTTTTCAACACCAAGAACTTCCTTTGTGAAATAAGCCAGTTGTGGTCACAGAAACACAGTTCAAATATACAAGTAACTTCTTTTCAAAAATGCAAACCATAATCTGCACTTCCAAAAAGAAATGAAAAGTAACCCATTTCATACAAGCCAGCAACCTTTCCTGCAATCTTGCTCGCTTTTCCCCCGTTCATTGATACCTGTTGTTGTATGTTACAAATGTTTCAATGCATATTGGGCTAGAAATCTTTTATTGCAGAACTCTCTACCTCAGAGAGTTTGGGAAGTCTAGCCTCTGTGTAAATCTTCAGTTTTGCATCTTGAAGACCTAGGCTTAAACCAGTGGAGACAGACTGTTCTCCTGTGGTCTGTGAGAAGGAAGAGACAGTGATCTCCAGCACAATAATGTTTGAATCATGATACAACTGTACAGTGAGGGCATAAATACTCCCTTGCTTTTACCATTATCCCAGGGTTTCCCAATGTTACACCCACCTCTTCCTTCCTTAGTCCTCCGTGGGAGGAAATAGGTAATGGTCAGTTGACCAAAAGTAATATGCAGTAGTAAATCAGGAGTACTGGGATGCTATAGCTCCCTAGACAGCCTCGTGTGACATCAAACACCTGAATCAGGTAAGGGAACACCAGCTCCCCCAGGATCCAGTATAAATCATGACGGGTGACTATGCATTGAATAGAGAATTGATGGCTCTCTAAAAGAAATTGGTTATAAATTAGGTTTTGTTAACACTATTCCTCTGTGGTGTAATAGACTAGTTAGTGTCTCAGGTATTTGTGCGGCAGGATAAAAATAAAGATAAGTAGAAAAAGACCAAATCGTAATTGTAAAGTTGTACTTTTAAAAAAGTGTCACTTGGGGACACAAAGTTACCTAAGGGTACAGGCCCTCTTTTTTCCCTTCTCTGAAACTTACATTTCCCATAATTAGGAAAATCTATTGCTTTAATTGGCTTCATGGACTTTGGTTGGGATGCAGCAACCCAGTCCAAAGTACTTTCTAACTCTGCTTGCTCCACTTGAATTCCCTCCCCTGATGTCTCCAGGATGTTCCTATGTTACGATAAACAATTCATCTTAGGCAAATGTATTTAGAATTAGTTTATCTGACAACATATGACTTAATTCAATCCATGTAAACAATCATGTAATGCCTTGTGCTTCCTGCTTACAAACTGGATTTGAACCCATAACTGCTCCCATCAGCCTGCTACCATAATGAATAGTTGCTTTTGGATTCCTCGGTGCAGAGTCTGTTCATTCAGTTCCATTTTGGGTTTTCTGTCACAGCAGCAGTCTGACTGCACAGACACCATCTGCGCTTCCTCCACATGACTTGCCCTCTGCAAGACACACCTCTGGGCAGGACATCATCACCAAGCTTCAGGACTCGAGCACACAGAGACGCTGCAGAGAGAACTCCTGTCCCATACTCCTTCCTTCCATGCTATCTGCTGAATCTTCATGGAGTTCGCTGGACATTTCAGTTTTTCATCATAAATATGCCATGATGAATATTCTCAGTTTGGAGGATCTGGTCAAGGAATGAACTGAAGGCTGTGTATCAAACCCTAGTCACTTTTGGAGAGTGTCAGCACGAGGGCTTTTAGGCTGTGCTTTGACCTTGATCCTCTGTTGGTTTGTAGCTGCCTTTCATACCCTTTAGGTTTAACCCAATTATTACCACTGAACTTGTGGAAGCCCAAGGGCTGGAAATCCAGTTACTGTGACTGGGGCTGTCCAGGCTCTGACCAACTCTTCCAATCTCCCTGACATTTAATCTCCATTGTTTACAAGGGATAGGATGAGGTGGAGGCTTTGTCTTCCCATTTTCTACCTGAGGTAAAACAAGGTGCTGCTTTGTATGTCAAAGGCTTTAACTGGATCTTCTCCTCTCTGCCTGTGGTGTCAAGATACCACACAGAGGATACCTGTTTGAACCACACAGTGGGAGACTCTCCAACCCAGTTGCCTTCCTCGCAGGGACTGAGGCCCAGGCCATGACGATGACCCAGTGACATCAGCAGTCATAAATCTGCCAGGTAGATTACTCTCCCTTGCCCTGACTCCAGTAATGGACAGGGGCTTCTAGAGCCTCAGAGTTGGCATGTTGGGGCTGTAACTGTCCTATAAGTCAAATTTTGGAAAACAGGGATAAGGCCTTGTTGTAGGCATTTGCTTGTTAAATAAAAAGGAAAAAATCCAAAAGTGGATCAGCAATTCTGTATTGCTGAAGAGTTGCTGAATTTCAAAGTAAAAGCTTTAAATGAATTCAGTTTGAGACCAGAATGATGATTAGACGCCATTTGGGGGTTTTCTTTTTGTTATTGCTTTAAAAAGAATTTAATCAGTATAGCACATTTCTTTTTTTTTTTTTTGTCTTTTTCGTTTTTATTGGTACCAAGGATCGAACTCACGACCGCCTGCTTGCAAGGAAGGTGCTTATGCCGCTGAGCTAAATCTCCAGCCCCCAGTATAGCACATTTCAACAAACTCCTTTTAAGGAAACATTTCATAAATTAACTTCATGTTATTAAATACATCATGTTTACTGTCTTGTTCCAGTATGTAAAGCAGCCAATGTGACTTCCCCAATTGTTGTAACTGTACATGTGGAATTAAATAAATGAGTGCTTTATTTCCTTCCACTGTGAATATGGTGGGTGTGAAGTATGATCTCCCTAAAGATTGGTGTCCTGTGATAAGCTTGCATCTGAAGTGTGTTCTGGGACTTACAGAACCACTCCTTAACTATTTGTTGGGTGTGTGTGGTGTGCTGGAATTGGATCCAAGGTCTCACACTGCTAACACGTGTTCTCACAGAGCTGCATCCCCAGCCTAACCCGTTAGACCTTTGAGTAAAGATTTCACTCAAACTTTGCATCTGAAGGTTTGAAGACATTACTGGAAATCAACATTATTTTTCAGTATTAAGGATTGAATCCAGAGCCCTTTTAAAGACTTAGCAATTACCCTACCACTGAACTACATTCCCCAACCAATTTCAAGTTCATTTTGAGGCAGGGTCTAGCTAAGTTTTCCAGGCTGCCCTCAAAATTGTGATTTTCTTGCTTCACCCTTCCAATCTGGGATTAGAGGTGTGTATCTCCAAGCCTGGGTTAAAAGAAATATTTTTATGAATATTTTAAAAAGATATTCCTCAGAAACAAAGTGATGATGGTATGGTTGTTCTGACGGCAATCATAGAGGTCAGAAATAAATCCATATGTAGACACTGGAACCTAAAAGTGGATAATGATTATCACTCAAAGCAATAAAAAGGACATGGTCTTATGGAAATCATGTTCTGTCTGAATTCCCCCTCTAAAGATTTAGAGTACAAAATGAAATGTGAAAATTCAAATTATAAGATTTAAACTTTTGAGTGAACATAGAAAAATTTCATGAGTAAAATTTGAAAGCCTCATCTAAAATAAATGACAGAAAATGAAGCACAATAAAGATGGATTTTGCTACCAAAAAACTTCTCGTAAATTAAGTATATTATGGACAAGTTAACAGATGAATAACAAACTGGGAGAAGACACCTGAAATATCTAAAACTGAGAGCTGACTAATACAAGTTTGTACCAAGAGTTGAAAAATAATAAGCAAGAAACGCCAAAAAAGATATTATAGGCCACTGATAGAAGGCAAAGTGAAAGTAGCCCTTTTAATGTTCTTATATTTCAACAAAGTTAAGGAAACCATAGTTAATAAAAGTAGCCACTGAATTAGGACACCAAACAGGATTCTTATGTTTAGTTAATTTGGTGGGTGCTTGCTGTAACAGGCCTTGTGCTCTAGACTGAGAGAAGAACCAAGCAAAACCGAACGGATAACCTTTGGAAATCTCGGCCAGCACTGTCAGCTCAAGATCTAATTGTAAGCGACCTTGGAGAAAAGAGAATGAAGCTCTAATCGTTGTTTAAATTGGAGAAACAATGCTAGGGTTCACACAAACAAAATCCCAAATCCACCAGTCTAGAGCGTTTTTCTCTTCTGTTCCACAGATATACGGCCTCATACTTTCCCACTAAGAATGGTCCTATTTGCAGCTCAGTTCGGTTGAACTCGCTTTCTTTTCCAGGGGGATGTAAAACTCGGGGAATCAGCCGGTTGACAAGTGGGGCAAGCTGAACACTGCCTTACAGTCCCGGTTCATCAATATCTCGAACTCTGGTAAATCATCTCTGGGAGATTTAGGGCACTCATCTGCAAAATAAAGAAATATGTGAAAACTGTCCTCAAACAAGGTCGGTAAGCATTAAGTCTCGGGATCAGCAAATGCAACCCTCTATGGCAAAAAAGCCCGGAAACCATTTTCCCCTGAGACTCTCCACGCCCCTTAGTACCACCCCGACCCCAACAAATGGGTAGTGCGCATGTGCACTACCGGCGCTGCGGGCTTGCCGTAGTTTCCTTTCCAACATTGTCCCCGCCCACCACCTGCAAGCGTTTCCGGTCCAGTCCAGGAACTCCTAGCCTATTTTTGTATATGGTTCACTGTTCCACCGGTTTCTCCAGCGCTTCTCTGGCTAGCTCAGCCTCTGGCGAAAGCAGTTGCCCTTAAAGTGTTTCGGTTTCGAGGTCGCGCAGATCAGAAAAGGACTGTCCTCTGTCCCCTTGCTCGTTGCCCGCAGTTCTCAGCCACAGGCGACGAGTTTGAGGGCGTCATGGCCGAGGGCCTTCGCGGCCGGCCGGGTGGGAGGCCGCTTTCCCCAGCCCGTGCGCTCCTGTGGCCTTTGGGCCCGCCAGCACTCGTCTTGGTCTGAGCGCCGTCCCTCGGTGCCTGCGGCCACCTCGCGCGGGACCTCATGGCCTCCGAAGTGCCGTCCCCACCGCCGTCGCCCATGCAGTCACTGTCGCCTCCAACCTCCCCAGAGCCTGAATTGGCCCACCTGAGACGAAAGGTCGAGAAGTTGGAACGCGAGCTGCGGAGCTGCAAGCGGCAGGTGCGGGAGATCGAGAAGCTGCTGCATCAGACGGAACGGCTGTACCAGAGCGCCGAGAGCAACAACCAGGAGCTCCGCACGCAGGTGCGCGGTCCGCCCTGCCCCGAAAGCAAAGGCTCCTTCGCTGGGGCTCATCACTGCTTTATAGAGTTCTTCAAATAAATAAAACAGAGCAGTTATAGTCCAGGCACATTTGGAGTCAACCTAAAACTTAAGGTTCCTTGATTTAGATGAGCGTCCCACGGCTGGCCTGAGTTGAACTCCAGTGCTTTGGCTGCATGATTGTTAGTCCCATTTGTCCCAGCGTCCCTCTGGCAGTAGGAACATTTGTAATACTTTCTTAGATTACGTTTGAGTTTGTTAAAGGTCTGATCTTGAATCAGAATCTCATCTTTGCCTCTGATGGGATGTGTAAATATAGAACAAGCCTCAGTTGTCCATAAAAATCATTTGACTTTGTTATTCTGGGCCGTCATCATCTTGTGTTTTCGTGTTGAAGGAGAGAAGTAGAGCCTTCTTTGTTAGACACATCTTATGTCCTTTTGATAAAGTGCAGTAAGGACAGATATTTGAAATAGCAGCTGAGAAAAAAAAAAAAAAAACAAAAAAAAAAAAACCTCCATAACGACCTGTTAGGCAGCTGCACTCTCTCCTGATAAGTCATTTCCAGGTACTTAATTTCAAAGTAACTTTTGTAGTCCTTCGTAGTTCATTGGTTCATTTCCCAAAACAACTGAACATCAAAGTTTTGCTATGAAAACAACTGTTGATTTGAAGTGATTTCTAGGCTCATTGTATATAATTATTGACCTTATGACATAGAAAGGTATTTTGTTTTTCTCAACAGCTAGTTTTTTTTTTTATCAGCTAATTCTTGAACATCCACAATGTAGAGGAATTATACTAGGAAAATACAAAGATAAAAATATGGGAAGAGGAGAAGTATTGGGCAAACCAAGAGACCCTAACTTTTTTTTTTTTTGCTAACCTTCTATGAGCCAATGTGTTCATTATCAGTGTTAACTTGATAATTGTTCATCTTCAAAAGTGAAAATACAGGGCTGGAGGTTTAGTTCAGCGGTGTAATTATCTGCTTGGCAAAGTTCGATCCCCTGTTATCCCCCTCCCCAAGAAAAAGGAAATACATGACAGGCATGGTAATGTGTGCTTGTAATCTCAGTACTTTGGGAGGCCAAGGCAGGAGGATCACAAGTTCAAGACCACATCTCAGAATAGAGCTGGAAATGTAGCTTAGTGTAAAGCGCCTGGGTTCAATTCCTAGTACAAAACCAAAAAAGAAAAAGAAACTTGGGTAAGGTGATTGGAATCTGTAGTTTGAAGCAGGCAAGTATGCTTGAGCCTAGGAGTACAAAGTTAAGTTGAGCAACATTTAGAAACTTTATATTAAAAAAAATAGAAAGTAGACACAATTTAATGTTAGAATGTTTGCCTAACCATGTCAGAGGCCCTAAATTCAGCTGCCAGTACTGGAGGGGTATCAGTGAGGGCAGCATGGTCTTGCCTCTACCGCTAATGGAGTACTTTCCTAGTCAGCCTTTCCTGTTGGGAGAATAGAGTTTGGTTGTCATCCCAAATTGCTGAATCTTTTCCATGTAGAGCACTTGAGAATTCCAAGAAATGAACTTTAAACTAATAGCCATAATATCTGCATTTTTGGGGCTCAAAAAGCCTTGTGTAGTTTGCTGGTACACAAATTTGTTGATTCATATTTCATATGTAAAATGGGCATTAAGACAAAGACATAATTTGTGAAGTGCTTGTGTAAATTAAAATATGTGCACCAGTATAACACCCAGTGTACAGTAGATGCTAAGTAATCCAGTTCATAGTAATGGTAGTAGGGATTTAGCTCAGTGGTGTAAGTGCCTGCTTGGTGAGCCCAAGTTGTGAGTTCGATCCCCGGTATTTAAAAAAAAAAAAAAAAAAAGTAATGGTAGTCACAGCCACGGCCAGGACTGGCGCAAGGCGGTCAGTCTCCTAGGGTGAGGAAGTTGAGGGGACACTTACTTAGGTATATACTTGCATTAATCTGTGAGGGCAAGTGTTTTATCCTAAGTACCTTGTTTGCCTCACCCTAGTTCAAGTCCTAGTGATTGGAGCAGATCTGATGACTGTGTATAATCAGTCTTACCTCCTCTCTGTGTGAGCTTATATTAAAAGAAATGTACAGTCCTATTTTTATTTGGTTTTGTGCATCTAGCATTCAGTGTCTCACACTGAGATCCTGTCAGGCTGCCTGACTAAGGCAGGTCCTCATCTACTTCAGGGTGCATCCACACACTGGTTCTGACCTGTCAGCATCATTCCGAGGGCATCTTAGTGCCTGAGATGCATAGAGAACAATTGCCCTTCTTAGCCACTTGTGCTTCGCGTTCCCTTCTGTAGTTACTTAATCATAAGACTGCTATTTAAAAAACACACACACACACACACACACACACACACACACACACATTGAATTATGAATGGTATTAATATATTTAGATGAATAGTTAAACCCAGGTGGAGGACACTAAGTGATATCAGACAATTCATGGCAGATGGACATTTATATATTTTAGGTTTTTAAATCCTTTAGAACTGCTGACCGTAAATATTAGCATAAAAGCATTCTTTGATGCGAGGATGAGGGTGGTAGTAAGAATTAAGCCCAGGGCCTCTTGCATGGTACGCAAGTACACTACCACTAAGTTCTGTGCCCAGCTGGAAATGTTCCTGTCTGTTAGAAATAAAAGGTCCTGTGTACAAAGTTCCATTAATTCAGTCAGGCTGATTTTGGGGAAACATTTTCATATGTTTAATAGGAAAGCTTAAGAATAAAAACATTTGTGAGCTGAACTCAACACATACTTGTGGTCCCAACACTCAAGAGGTCAACACCAGCCTGGGCGGTGTATTGAGAGTCAGCCCCCCTACTCCCAATTCTCTGAAAATTAGCTATAAGAGTTGTGACTATTTTTGTTTCTAGCTATTCATGGCACATCTCTGAAACTTGTATTTTCAGTATGGGGTGTTGAATCTGTGGAAGCCCTACCATTGAGATGCATCCCCTGGGTTTTTTTTTTTGTTTGTTTTTGTTTTTGTTTTTGCAACTTTTGAGACAGTCTTGCTAAATTTCCCAAGTCATTCTTGAACTTGAAATCTTCTTACTTTACTCTCTATGAGTAGCCAGAATTACAGAAATTCACCACTATGCTCAGCTAGTATCTTTAAAACTTTACTAAGAAAAATAATTTCAAGAGAATGATATATGTATTATTACATTGCTCCATGATTTATTTCTCCTAAAATATTTTTTGTTTCAGGTGGAAGAACTCAGTAAAATACTGCACTGTGGGAGAAATGAAGATAATAATAAGTCTGATGTAGAAGTACAAACAGAGAACCATGCTGCTTGGTCAAGTTCAGGTATTCATCTTATAGTGAAAATATCCTAATACTGTTACATTCAGATCATGCTAATGTGGTATTTTCTTTAAATTTTAAATACAAAGATCTACATAAGCAAGAATAATTATGGACTTTTCTCCTTTGCTATTTTCAGTTAATCAGTTTGCCCTTGTGGGAAAACAAAAAACTGCATTATCATTCCTGTAATTTCTGTAATGTTGCTAATGTGTTTTCAGTGTTTCACTCATAGAGCAGTTTTTTTGAGTGGGGATCTCACTATGTTTTTCCAACCTGGTGTCAAAGTCTTGGCCTAACCTCTGCCTCCTGAGCCCAGGGATAAGTGCACACTGCCACCTCCAGCTCACCTAGTCAACTTTGCTGTGTAATCAGCCTACTTTCCTATGCAGCTCTCTGTGAGCAGGACAGTGTTCCCTTGTTGATATGTGCAGTTCCAGGCTCTTAGATCTTGCAGGCATGTTGAGTCCACCTCCATGATCTCATCAGCAGCATTCTGTTACAAGGAAAAATAAGGGAGCCACTGAGGTTTTAATAAAAGTGGATTACAAGAACCAGTCATCTTTCCTGTTAGGTTTTGGCTTGGTTTACTCAAGATACAGTTTAAGCAAAGGATGGCATATCTGTATATAAACTTTTTAAGCTGTCAGCATCGCAAGATAAATTTGACAGCAAACTGAGACTGTGGGTCCTAAGCATCAGTGTTAGGTGTATGATTAGAAGTAGTTAAGAGTTGCTAAGTTTTTTTTTTGTTTTTGTTTTTGAAAGAAGACAACCAGTCTATTTTTTTTGTCTTTTTTCTTTTTATCGGTACCGGGGATCGAACTCACGGTTGCCTGCTTGCAAGGCAGGTGCTTATGCCACTGAGCTAAATCCCCAGTCCCAACCAGTCTATTTTTTACTCTTGCTACAGAAAATCTAAACTGCTTCCTTTTTTCTTTCTTTTTTAGCTTGGTAGTTAGGGTACTGAAACATTAGCATTAGAGATACATACTTCTGCAGATTTATTTGCACTATCAGTTTTAATATTTTAAAATATATACAGTTGTAAAAATCAATGTTTATGTTCAGTGAACTGTACTCAGTGCTAATTTTCACAATTAAGCCCCTTCTGCATATACTAATTGAATGTAACATTTAATTCATTTTGCCACAGATTATTATTATCAGACATACTATAATGATGATGGTCTTCCAAATAAAGAGACTAAACTCTCAGCTCAGCAGTGTCAGTATGTTGAAGCATCTACTTTTACTTCTAAAGACCAGTCACAACCAGAAAGTGATACCTATCCTGTAACTGATGTAACAGAAAATGGTAAATGTGGACAAAAGGACCGTTTTATCTCAGATTCACAGGTATGGAAACACTAAACATGAAATTGTTGATGCCAAGAATTTGCCTTCCTTGGCATAGTTATGTAGAAAGATGAAGTTTTTTGGTTTGTCATGTACAAGAGTTGTAAATATTGTTATGTATAACTGTGACAAGAATATTAAAGTTTTTGTCTTTTGAGATGAGGTCTAGTTGTGTGGCCCAGACTGGTCTCAAACCTTAGATTCACGGGAACCTCCTGACTTATCCTTTTGAGAGGCTGAGACACTAGCAATGTGCGACCACACCTGATTACACTTCGTTTTGTTTTTTGTGACAGGGTCTTACCATGTAGCCCAAAGCCAGTATTGAATTTGAATCTCCCTGCCACAGCCTTCTAAGTAGCTAGGACTACATGCTTCTGCCAAGGCACCTAGCTGCACCTAAAACTTTTTTATTTATGCAGTGTTGAAGATTGAACCCAGAGCCATTTGCATGCTAAGCAAGTGCTCTTAGTTTTTTTTTTTTTTTTTTTTTTGGGGGGGGGGGATTTTATTTAAGGAGAAAAAAGAAAAAAACAGAAAAAGGGTAAAAGTTGTACAGAATTTCAGAAAAAATAAACAGTAGGAAATCACTAGTTAATTACATATTGTCATCTTAGAAATAGTTGTTGAAGTTACAAAATTAAAGCATATAGAGGGGACTTTCAAACAGTGAGACTGCAAATAGTTTTGTTCAATGATCCAACAAAACTCTAATATGGTTATCTTCTTATACACTTAAATATATATGCAGTTATACCTTTTAGAGAACTTTCTTTTCCTTTCTTTTGTACAATGACAATTACATATTTTGGGTTTTATTGCTCCCACAATTTTTATTACTTTTTTTTTTTTAAGAAAGTAAAACTAAATGTGACATACGAGGACAGAGTCAGTCAAATCAAAAGGATGGACATAATACATAATGTAAAAACAAAATACAAGGTGATCAACAATGGTTACCATAATGCCTCTTGTTATCTTAAAAAGAATTGCCTATATCATCAGTTATAATAAAATTGAACAAAACAGTAAAGAACAAGACCAATAAAACCAAAACATTGGAGACATTAGAGGACTTCAAAAGAAGATAATAGTCAGCCAGAATGGGAGTCACAATGAATCTTATTGTCTTCATAGTTGTTGCCTATACTTTCAAACTTGGTACTATCAAGCATGACAGAATAGAGGAAAATCAGTCAAAACAAGATGGTGAGAGCAATACAGAGTTTCAAATCAAGTTAATAGGAAATCAAAGTGGTTTACTATAATATATCCTGCTATTTTTTATTTATTTTTCCCTTAATTAAAAGGATAAAAATGAAAAAGATAATAAAAAGGAGATTGAGATAAAAAAGAGGGCATAACAACAAAACAGTGCAGGTCAAAACATAGCCATTTAAGCAAAATAGTGTTTCACCACAAGATAATCTTGACATAACAGTAGTTACCATAGTGTCTCTTCCCTTAAAATCTTTGGGTATAACTTTGTATACTGTAGCATCAAACATATCAAGACAATGTAAAACCTTTCAAGAGAATGACAGTATTACAGGGTATTTAGAATCAGCTAACAGAAAATGAACAATGGTTTCTGTATAATCTCCTTGTCTATAAAAGTTTTTGTTTATATTATCACATATAATAAAATCCAATAAGATACAACATGTTAAAACCAATGGAGACAGAAGAACAAAAGCTTGATGGAACTTCAAAACAAGAGGATATTAAATCAGCACTAGCTATTATGATGTCTTGTTTTCTCCAAAATGGCTGTTCCTACCATCCAACCTTCTCAGCCTCATTTCTGTTGAGCTCTTTTTCTGTCATTAGTTGTCAGTTTGTCCTTTTTATTTCACTTTCTGCTCCATTCATTGTGGCCTCTCTGCCACTGTTTCTGGAATCTTGGTATTTTTCATTTTTAGAATATCCTGCAGTGGGGCTGGGGATTTAGTTCAGCGGCAGAAGCGCCTGCCTTGCAAGCAAGCAGTCCTGAGTTTGATCCCTGGTACCGATAAAAATTAAATTAAATTAAAAAAGAATATCCTGCAGTAATCTCTGTAGAGTTGAATTGTTGGTTGCAAATTCCCCTAGTTCCTCTTTATCCTGGAAGCACCTTGTTTTTCCATCAATTTCTAGGGACAGTTGTGCAGGATATATCAATCTTGGCTGGAGGTTATTATCTTTCAAAGCTTGAATTATTTCCCCCCACGCTCTTCATGATTTGATGGTTTGTGCCAAGAAGTCTGCTGTAATTCTGATGGGTGTTCCCTTGTAAGTGATCTGTTTCTTGTCTCTGATGGCTTTTAATATTCTGTTCTTATATTGAATTTCTGGAATTTTGATTATTCTATGCCTGGGTGTAGCTCTGTTTGGGTTGTAGGTGGCGGGGGTCCTGTATGCCTCATACATCTGAGTATCTTTACCTTTTGCTAAATTAGGGAAATTCTCCTGGATTATTTCTGTGAATAGCTTTTGTAGTTCATTTGTTTGAGTCCCTACTTCTTCTTTTATGTTCTTAATTCTTAAGTTATAGATCCTCTTGTCATCTTCTAATCTTTGTATTGTTGCTGTTTGTCTTCTTGTTATTTTTAAGAAGTTTTTCATTTCATGCTCCCACCTTATAAATCTGCCCTCCAGTTCTGATAATCTATCCTTAGTTTCTTTCAAGCTGTTATGCCAGCTTTCAATAGAGTTTTTAGTTTCCTGGTAATCTCTTTGAACTTGCTTAACGTGTTGCTTTCTATGTTTGTTTCAAGCTTGCTTTCTATGTTTTCTCTATTTTCTCCATCAAACAATTCTCCCCTTTTTTTCTGTTCTTCTATTCCACCATCTGTTTTTTCTTGGACGGTGCTTAGCATTTCTCTAACTATTCTACTTATTTCTTGCTTTATTTCATTAAATACTTCATTTTTGAACTCATCTATGAGGCTCCGGAGATACCACTTTATGTCTATAGGTGCTGTGTCTGATATTGCATGTTTTCTGTCTTCATTCTCTTTTGCATTTACCTTTCCTGGATCAGTGTTCTCAGGGTTGGGGACTGAGGACCTTTCTTGTTGCTCCCTTTTCCCATACTTTTTGTTTCTTCCATACAAGCCTCTGTAGGAGGCCTAGTTTTTTTTTTTTTTTTTTTTCTCTTTGTCTGTTACAGTTTATTTGAATCTGCCGGCTAGGTGTTCCCGCCCACTGCAGTGTACTAGCGAGACACAGACCTGAGCAGCCTCTGCTGGGCCCGCCCCTCCAGGTCAACCTACTGAATGTTTCACTGCTAGGGTGCACCGCCAGGTGCAGGGACCTGGTTTGGTCTAGCCTACTGGATCTTAGTCTGTGGCGTCACCAGGCCAAGCGCTCCCCACCACTCACGCTTGAGAGGGGAATATGCGACTAAAGTCACTTCAGGGCCCTGTTCTGGCTAGTCTGCTCATTCCCAGAATGTCCTCTGTTGGAGCCTCCTAGTCTATGAAAGGGTCCCCATTTCTCTCACTCACCGCAGGTCGATGCAGGGCTCCCTGCCAGTCCCGCTCTCAATGCTGTTTGGTTCGCCGATTCCAGCTCTCAGAACTTTGGCGCACCTCTCTCCCTGCCGTGCGGATTGGGATGCAGTATTGGCAGCAGGAGATTCAAATCGTAACTTCCAATGGCACGGGATCCAGCTTCCGCACTGAGACTTTATCTGTTCCTGTTATAGCATCAGGATTGCATTTCCAGTTGGTTTCTCTCAGCTTAGTTCGTTCCTGGGTCGGCAGGGTACATCTCCTCTCACGTAGGACTCCTCACACGGCACCGCTCCTGGATTCTAAACTGGTAATCTCAGAGAGCCTCCATGGCTGCTGTTATTTGTCCGCCATGTTCTCCCAGAAGTCGCATGCAAGTGCTCTTATCACTGAGCTACATCCCCAGCCCTAAAAATTTCTTAATGCTTTTTTATGTTAAATCTCACTTTACTGTTTAAATTTTCCTGAATGTATTATACATTTGGTTTTAAAATTTTTTTGAATTTGCATTCTGTTCACAGTATATCAATCTATGGTGTTTTTCTCCCTTACGGAGCGTATAATTGCTGAACAGTCTTGATCATCTTTTCATGGCCTGTGTTTTGTGAATTGCTTCTGTATGGTATCATGCATTTACATTCTTGTAATAGTATTCCTTTCTTTAGGATCTTTAAACTGGTAGGGCAGGACTGTGATAAAAATTAGGGTCAATTGAGTTAAATAATACAGTACACTAGTCAATATTGAAAGGTTCAAATTGTAATTGAAAGCTGCATCTTTCCATTGTAGAAACTGTGGTCACCATCCTTTTAAGAGTAGCTTTGAGACAGCCGGTGTTTGAATCCTGACTTGTAAGTAGATGTGTGAAAGCTGTGTCTGACTTGAGGTGACTCTCTCCTTTAGGAGCTGGCGTCTGCATTGGCATCTATACCCTCAGAAGGTTCTTCGTTAGCCGAAAGCTTGAGAGCAGCCGCAGAAGCTGCTGTGTCACAGACTGGATTTAGTTATGATGAAAGTACTGGATTGTACTTTGACCACAGCACTGGTTTCTATTATGATTCTGTAAGTGTTTCAGACCTTTTTAACACAGTGTGGTTACGTGTAGCTGCCTGATAGCAAGTGTTAAACCCTAAAATGAAGTAAAAATAATAAGCAGCATTGTAAAATTTCATTTGATTCAAAGCTGTTTGGCAAAATAATTTTAAAGTAGCTTTCTATGCTACGCTTCTAAGTTTCTGATGAGATAAGTTCTTGTTGTAGATCGGCAGTGGCAAGCCTTTTAGAGCTTTCAGTGATGTCAAACACCTCACTGTGACTTGCATGCCATAAGTTCACCACTGCTCCAAATCAATGCTTCAGAGAGGCCTGCTAACCCTTTATAGCCTAACATCATCTGCTGAAAAGCAGATGATTAATTGTAGTGTAAAGCCTTTAAGAACCTAACTAGTATTTTCTCATGGAATGTGTGAGATTGTTGATTCTAGGCTTGTTTAAAGTATTTATTTTTCTAAATATGTGTAAGCCACAGAAAGAGACTGTCCTTTTTGAAGTGGTAAGTACTCAGGCTGGTGCTGAATTCCTGGGCCCCAGTGCTTTTTCCTCTGTACCCGCCCCAGTAGCTGGGACTGCAGGCATCCAAGGCCATGGCCAGCTAGGGACACTTTCTGAATTCTCAGAATTGGTTTTTGTGAAAGGCTGTGGTAGTATATGTGAGACTGGGGCTTGAACACAAGGCCCATGCATGCCAGACAGGAATTATATGACCAGGTTATATGCCTAGCCCTTTTACCAATTTTGAGACAGGATCTTGCTGAGTTGCTGGTACCAGTTTGAGCTTGCAGTCCTGCCTCAGCCTCTCCAGTAATTAGTGGCATATTTATTATTAGTTGGTGTTTTATAGTCTGTGATTTTTAAATATATAAACTTTAAGATATAAGTGTTGGGTTTGCTTGGGAATGTCGGTCAGTGTAGAGTACTTAGCAAGCATACATAAGACACTGGATTTGATCCCTGGCACCACAATAAAAAGTAAAATTTAAAAATCTTTTAACAATGAGAACTAGGGAATTGATGTGAAATTAGAAATGTGGACCCCTGATTAAGACAGGACCATAATGATTCATAATACAGTCATACTGAAACGGCAAGCAGAAAAACCAAAGCAGCATCTGGAATTTGGAGGCAGATTTATTTTACATTGACAGTTACTGATCAGGAACATTCCCAGAATATTAGGCCTCAATCTCTGGTTGTCCAGAGCTTATATGGGATAAGCAGAGGCAGAATGGCTTGTCAGTTGGGGAGTGGTTTTCACAATAAGCATCATAGTGACCAGCTGTACATCACAGTGTGGGGGATTTTCTGTTATACCTTAGTGCTCAGCTGCTGTGAAACTTGTTAAATTTGATATTGAATGAATTTTGACATGAACATTTTGTCTTTTACTTATCCTTTATTTGCTACTCAACTCAAAAGCTAGAACCTGTGAGTTTCGATTGCTTGGTGACTCACTGCCTTTTTCCAACCAAAGCAGTTTGTTTGATAGTCATAAGACTCCTAGAATAAATTAATGGTGAATACTGATACTGATACCATTAATGTTTACTTGGATTTCATTCATGGTTGCATGACACTGGATTTGGTGGTACATCCTATAATCCCAGCTGCCTGGAAGGCTGAAACCAAAAGGTCGTAAGTTGCAGGCCAGCCTGGGCACCTTGGCCAATTTATGTCTCTATATACAACATAAAGGACCAGCTAACCACATGCATGTAATCCTAGCTCTGTGGCAGGCTGAGGCAGAAGGATTACAAGTTGAAGCCCAGCCTGAGCAATTTAGCAAGACCATATCAAAAACAACAACAGCAAAAACGTAGGGATGTAGCTCAGTGTAAAATCCCTGAGAATCAATCTCCAGTACAGTGGGGAAAGGAGGAAAGGGCTGGGGACTTAGTTTAACAAGTGGAGCATGTTTGCCCAGCATCCACGAGATGCTTAGTTATACACACACAACTATTTCAGAATTCATTTGTACATAGCTGCTTTACTCTTAAGTCTTATTTACTGTAGAATTAGTGAAATACTTTGTCAGTATCTTTATATAGTATGTTTTATTGTGGTACTTACAAGCTTCACTTTTTTCACATTCTCTTCAGTGGCCTTAAATAGCATTAAAAGGTGATATGTGTGGCATTAAATAGCCTTAAAAGGTGATATGGGAGGAAGGATTGGGGGCTTATACTGCCAAGCATTACTGTGCAGTTATTGAACATAATGCACCTGGAATTGCTTTCCTATGAGTTTTTCTGGTGTATGCCTTAATTTTCCAGCCTTCAGAAAGATTTATTATTTTTTTTATTAATGTGTTAAGTTAAACTATGAAATTCCTATTCTTATAAAGTAAAAAATCATTAAATGTTGACAGCATCATGTGCTTCCATTTAATATTTAGGTTTATTTTCACATTAGGTTTATTTCAAATTAGAGCACATACTGAATGATATTTTTTAAAATAATATTTTTTATTTTATTATCTTAATTTACTATCTTCTATAAATACTGTAGTTGAGAAAAGTGGACCACATTTGAATATACTTGGTATTTCTGTTAAGTTTACTTTTCTATTTTCATGATACATGAATAGAACTTGTTGTTTTCTTGATTTGGAAAGGAAAATCAATTGTATTATGATCCTTCCACTGGGATTTATTACTACTGTGATGTGGAAAGTGGTCGATACCAGTTTCACTCTCGAGTAGATCTGCAGCCTTATCAAACAGCTACCACAAAACAAAGTAAAGATAAAAAACTGAAGAAGAAAAGAAAAGATCCAGATTGTTCTTCAACAAATGAAGAAAAGGTAATGTCTTCCTAATATTTACAATTTGCATAATCTTAATAACATGACTTAAGCCAGAAGTTTTTTATGAAACAAGGTCATTCTGTAACTGTGTATTTCAAACATACCCATTAAGATACCGGAATTGAACAACCAAGGAGCATTCAAAGAGAGCAAATGTGGACTTTTAAAAATTCTTAGTGACTAAAAATAGAAGTATTTCTTAACAATTTGATGAGTGTGGACTTGGGGCATATAGAATACCTCGTGTTACACTGGAACAAGAACATACAGAGCCTCAGCTCATACATCAGTGTCCTCACAGACTCAGACTCAACTTTCTTACGATGAGCACTTTTTTGCCTATTAAATTAGGACATGTTTTAAAAAATTATCACTGACAAATAATGGAATGGGGTATATATTAGGATTGTAAATTGGTATTTTTGTTTTTGAAAAGAGGTTGTAGTATCAATAATCATTAAAATATTTAGTGCTTTAATTGGAAAGTCTCATTTCCTGTAATTTTTAAAAAATCAGATTGAAGAAAAATTATTTTGTATAGTTATAGAGTAATATAAGACAGAAAAAGATTGAGTCTGGATAGCCTGTAAAACATTATTCATGAAAAACACGATATGTTTAATTGAAAATATATAGGCCTTTAAATGGTAAATGTGAAGACAGAGGAATTTCTTTCACTGCTTATAATATTAATTGAAATGTCAGTGCTTTTATTTCTACTCTAACAGATAAGGTCAGTGGTTTTTGTTTAGGACAGAAGGCTTATTACTGGCATGTTTTGAATTGTGGCAACTATGTATTTGATATTTTGTACTGGAAATTTTATCTTCTGTTTTACTGAACATTTACTAAAAATCATACTGCATTATAAAGTTCATATATAGAATTAGGGTATTGTTGGTTTATTTTGTTTTTTATATGGTTTGTCTTTTAGCTGCCCCCTTCTTTTACTGAGAATAGATAGTAATAGAAGGATGTATGACTAAATTACTAAAAATAATTTTTGTTTGCTTGCAGGATTTCTGTTTTAATGACTTTCCTGTTACTAGAGTGTGGGCTCTTTGAAGAGCTAGGTTGTGAAAGCACCTCTCCCTAGAAGTAAAAACAGAGTAGGAATAAGGGGCTGTTGGGTGACCTTTCCTGGCCAGCTGCGGGGTCTGGGGTGAACAGTGTTCTTGCATAATGTGTGAACTTGCCTAACTCCCTGACTTCATCTTTGATATTCTTTTTCAAAATATGTGAACTCCAGCACAGGATTTTAAGAAAAAACCCTGGTATAATTTTGAGAATTCTCTGAAGATTCTCAAAAATAGCTATTTAAAAAAATAGCTATGAAGCCATGCAAGACTAGTTAAAACATCCTCATTATTTTCTTTATTTTCAGAGATACTCTGGAGCCCCCCTGTAGATGACAAGATGTGAAAGTAAGGCAGTAGGATGATGAGATTGAGGGAATAACTTGAAATGCACATAGTGTGCCTCACAGTTTAAGACCTTTTTTTTTTCTCTTAGTATTTATCTAGCATTCTGTGTGGGCAAATATGTAGCTGATAAAACACAGCCCCTCTTGCAGTTTCAGTCACTCTTCTCCAGCTGTTGTCCAGTAAGCAACAGTAATAAAATATGCAGCATTAGGAATGCTTTTTTTTTTTGTTAGAGGAATGTTTTATTATAAATCATGTGGCCTGTAGAACTGTAGTTTTTCAGCTCCATACCCTTGTTCTTGTCCTTGGTGAATTTGTATTGCTAGGAATATATATAGTTTTATCACATTAATGTTTCAGCAGTCTCCAAACTGAACTTATGCTGTTGTTAAAAATATGTGTATAGGAACTGGGTGGGTGGTACATGCCTGTAATTCCAGCACTTGGGGAGGCTGAGGCAAGAGGATTGCTGTGAGTCTGGGCTATATTGTATAAAATAACATAAGAACATACCAGTTCACTTTATTGTGTTACTCTACGTAGAAGAAAAATTGAGAGTACATTACAAACCAAAGGGAAAAAGGAAAATAATGCATATGTACAACATGGTGACTATATTTAATGACAATATGTTGTATTTTCTCCCTTTTTTTTTTCTTTGTCATGCTGGGTATCAAACACAAGGCCTACACATGCTAGGCAAGCAACCCACTGCTGAACTCCACCCCTAGCCTATGTATTACATTCTTGAGACTCAGGAGGAAAGTAAATTTAAATGTTTTCGCCACAAAAAATGTGTGAGGTACTTCTATTCAGTGTATACATGTTTTAAAACATGTTGTACAGGATAGAACTACACACTTTTTATTCATTAATTGAAACTAATAGGTTTGCTAAGTTTTCACAAAACATACCTGTGCAATAAATTAATAATAAAAGGCTTATATTAGCTAAGTTGAAATTTTAGAATAAAAGATAAACTTTTATTATTAAGCCAACTATAAAATACTGCATTTTAGTAAAACTGCAATTTTACTATATAGGGTACATGTGGATCTTCAAATTCATATCTTAAATAAAACTGTATTTTGTGTGTATTCAGTTGCTAATTGACCAAAAACTTAAAAGAAAATTTAGGGTAAATATATTCTCTAGCTGTGCTCTATCCAGTAAGGTGGCCGCTAGCTGCATGTGACCACCATTCGAAGAGAAACTAGTCCAAATTGGGAAGTACTATATGTGTATACTCCCAAGTTTTGAGGACTTAGATGGGTATAAACTGTCTCATTAACCATTTTGCTTTTTAAATGTGGCTATAAAATAGTGTAAATGTACTGATACGGCTTTCCATTTCTATGGAATGGCTTTGGTATAGGTTGTCACACAGTCCAGGCCATACATGATGAGGGCCTGAACTGTGAATACTGAGACATCGAGAATAGAGAAGGGGAAAGACACTAGCTAACTGTAAAAATGGAATCCAGAGCATTCCACAGTTGCTCTCATGTCAGATTAAGGGGATGTCGGTGATGAGTATAAGATTTTTAATTTGTATCATAAGAGGATGATAACAACATTATCCAAGAAGGAATATGAGAGAAAGAGTGGGTAAAAATTTCATTTTTTGTTTTTCCAATGTATATGGTTACTAATCCACCAAAACTTCGTATATTTTTTATAGTCATGTTTAAAATTGTTCTATTATATATTTTCCTATCTTTTTTCCAGGATTTGAATTCAGAAAACCAAAAAACCTCCAGTGTTGAATATTTAAACTGCAGTGAGGGAGAAAATTTTGCAAATGTGAAAAAGAAAGTCAAAGTGAACAGTGTAGAATCTCCTGTTAATGAGAACATCTCTAACTCAGCCTCATTTAAAGATGAGGGAGCTGTAGACAGTGACAGTGAGCCGGAAGAAGGGGAAATCACGGACTCTCAGAGCGAAGCGAGTTACGATGAAGGTGGCAGCAGCGAGGACAGCAGGACCGCAGAGGAGACCGAGGATGGAGGTGAGTGCCAGGCAGTGCTTCGTTTTAGACGAACGACCAGTCTGGTAATGTGAAAGGCCAAAGAGTTAAAGATGTTAGTGAACCATGTGAGTACATGACAGAAAGCTACTGTGAGGTAAATTGTGGGAAGTAGAATGACTTATCCTGAAGAATATTTTGTTGTGTTGAATGCCTAATCAATAGGACATAAAATCAAGCTTCCTATGAGCAAATCCTAATATATGTATACTCTGTACTGTACTATTTATAGGCTGTTTTAGTGAGTTACATATTTGTAATCTACTTTTGCTGTTGAGGAAGAAAAAGAAAGTTGCTTGAAAAAGTATAGCTCATGAGTTTGGTATATAAGTATTCCAATAAATGTGTATTTTTTACTTGATGTGAAAGATACTTCAAAAACACAGAATTTTATAGTATGCAAATTGTTTTCTCAGTGGAATTTCTCTTATTTTTAAAAACTGGACTCAGCTTTTCTGACTTAGGGATATTTTAAAAATCCTTAAAAACCTTAAGAGTTTTTTTATTCCTGTGATAAATCCTAAATATGTGGTACATCTTTATGTTGATCGCTTCCATGATAGTGTTAAGCCTTACCCGTTGCTATAAATATCCTATAGCAGAATGCTGGAAATTTAGTCTTAAGTTTCTTTTTTTGTTGTTTTTCCAGTGCTGGGGTTGATCCAAGATCTCACACCATGATCAGCTATAACTCTTGACCACTGCAGTATCCCCTGCCCCCAGAACAAAAAAGTACAACCAGTACATTTACTTTTTTCATTACTGGACACTGAACCCAGGGCTTTTGCACTAAGCTACATCCCTCAGCCCCACCCTTTCATTTTAGAGGGTCTGGCTAAGTGCTCAGTGGGCTCAAACTTGTGATCTTCCTGCTTCACTGTCCAGAGTGCTTGGATGACAGGCCTGTGTCACCACATCCTGCTGATGAACGCAGTTTCTTGTGTGCTTCTGGTGCCGAGCACCCAATCTGGGGCCTTCTGCATTCTGAGCTCTACCCTCAGCCGTAACTGATGCACTTTCATTTTGTGGATGCCTCATAGGTATCCATGTGAAATTTTTTCTTTCATATCATTTAAGTTAATGTTTGGTCACTTCTGTCCTTTGGCAGATGAAGAAAAGATTTGGCCCCCGTGTATTAGAGTCATTGTTATTAGGTCGCCTGTGTTGCAGACAGGATCACTTTTCATCATCACTGCTGTAAACCCTGCTACAATTGGAAGGTAAAAATGGCTAATACTACTATATTATTATTTTTTATTGAGCATGCATCTTGTATCAATTGTTGTTCTATGTGCTGTGGATACAAAGAAGACTAAGACAAGATCTCTAACCAAAGAAAAAACAGTCTGTAGATAAAGACATGAAAAAGTGGTTAGGCAAAGGCATAGGAGATCTAGATCAGCAAAGAGATCTGCTGTGTTAGACTTGCATTTTAATATCCATGTTAAGCACATTTTACCATGTCTCTAAGTGCTTGTTTATATAGGCTTTAGAAATGATTTAAACACTGTATTCAACTCTGCAGAGAAAAAGACATGGAGCACACTCTTCGAATCCCTGAAGTTGGTGTTAGTAAGGTAAGACCCTAATGTTTCAAGTATAGTGGCTGAGTTAAAATTTTTCAAAGGTATCGTCTTAGAATAAGAAAAAAAAAAAAAAATCACTGTATGGAGAGCTTAAGGTTTATTCCATTTAATGAATGGTTAATGTTCACTGTGGCAGTGGTGATAAAGCGGGGTAGATTTGTTTGTCCAGTGCTTGAGAAAATAAAAATTCCTTATCACAATTTGATGAATTGTGCTTCCTTTGTTTTTGTTTTTGAGGCAGGATGTTGCTGTGTTGTCTAGATTAATCTGTACCTCATGGGCTTAAGTGGTTTTTCTGCTTCAGCCTCCTATGCTCTGGGACTGCTATCACACCCTTGCTATTTGTGTTTATTTTTCAATAGTCTGGGTAGGCGTGAAAAACATGGATTTATTTGACCTAAGTATTAAAGTACTGTCCATTTAGCTCATGTTTATTGAGTGAAATATGCACGCTACACTTTTTGGCAGTTCAGAAATAAGTCAGGTCTAGATTCAAGATACTTTAATAGGCAGTTGCTTTGAGCCCAAAGTAACAAAGGTTATTTTGTTCTTTGCCCTTGTGCTCACTGTCTCTTTCCTTGTGTGCCTTTTTCTTTTGGGCTTTTCTTTGTGGTGGCAGGAATTGGTCTTGAACCCTGCATATGTAGGGAAGCACTGTGCCACTGCTCTATCCCAGCTCTCTTGTCATTTAATGGATTTTATGTGATTTTTGTCATTTTGAAATGAAATTTTTTGCATTATTAGTGGCAAAGTCTAGTTGCTTTCAACTTTTGGGGGTCTCATTTGGAGAAGTGAAAAATCCTCATAATTTAACCAAATTATCGGGCTTTTTTACTTTACTGTGACCCTTGATTTTCTTGTTTCCAACTAACTCAACCTGTCATCTGAACTAGCTGGCTGTCCATGGTGGTTGGGGGGATTGGTGATTCTCCATCAGCTCATGGGAGGCACTATCTGACTTTTCTCTTCCTCGACCCAGCATGGTTCGCTGAGAATTTGTTATTAATTTTTTTTTCCTTTTTTATCTTTTTGAGATAGGGTTTCACTGTGGAGTTCAGGCTGGCCTTGAACTCACAGCAGTCCTCCTGCCTCAGCCTCCCCAGTGCTAGAATTATAGGCATGCACCATTATGCCTGGCCTTGTGTTTTTAATTTCTTTCTTTTAAAATAACAGGGGTAAGTAATATGTTGGCAAATCAGGTTGATACCATATGTACTCTGTATTCAAATACATGAAAAATAATAATTAAAAACATATTAGTGTCTAAAAGACAAATATAAACATTCAAATATTAAATTAACAGACAAAAGGCTTCCTGAGTTTTTTAAAAAATGGTAAAAATCACAAGTGACAAAATAATTTTAACTAAATTTAAATCTCTGTATGTTAAGAACCAAAGTTTAAGGAGCAGGTTAGGAAAGTACAGATGTCTTTCCTTTCTATTTCAAAAGCTCATGCAAATTTATCTTCTCAGGCCCTGTTGTGACACTCATAGGTAAGTAAGAAAGGATATAAACTGACAGTTCACAATAGAGAAAAGTCCAGAGTTAAGATGAAACACCGTTTATCTTTATAGTAATCTAAGAAACATAGGGAAGCCAAAATGTCAGTTTTTATTCACATCTACTATGTAATAAATAATAAATATCATTCCTGTTGGGAGGATTATTTAGAATAGCTTTTTGGAATACATCATAACAGGGTCAGAAGACTTGAAGCTATTTAAACCCTATGGGAAAAAATATACAAAGAACATGAAGAAAATTTACGGAAAAAAACTCAGTTACTACACATAAGAAAAATTTTCACTAGTAATTAAAGAAACACAAATTAAAATCACAGTAGTAAGACATTATTTATTTCATACCTTGAGGCTAAGACAGATTAAAAGTTATGAAACTATCAAGTGCTTTTATTCATTGTGTGTATTTGAGACTCAGTGTCACTGTGTAGTGCAGGCTGGTCTTGATCTTTTGGTTCTCTTGCCTCAGCTTCCTGGGTGCTGGCATTGCAGACATGTGCTACCAATTCTGGCTCACAATACCAAATTTTGGTTAAGGGTATTTAGAGCAACAAGAATTGTCATAGATTACGAGTGGGAATGCAATTGCTGTGCCTCTTTGGAAAAACAGTATGGTAACACTCAGTTTGAGATGTACATGTGCTATGCTTTAGCAGTTCTGTTCCTTTTTAGATACCCTAGGGAAACACTTGTATTATACACAGAGAAATTACAGTGAGTACAGTAGTTTTAAAGACAAAAAACCCTGGGACAACTTACATTTTTCCAGAAGAATAGATTGTGGTTTCTGTCCTCATAATGAAGCAACTGAATGACGCCCAGGACATAACGTTAGGCTCTGATGTGAAAGAAGAGGCATATGCACAGAGAATGTCGTGGGCCAAGGAAGGAGTGAGCAGGCCTGAGCATAAAACTCTGGGAAGCTTCTCTGAGAAGTTGGCCTTGAGTGCTTCAGGTCTCTTTATTTTTTTCTTCAATCAGATTGGTACATTTTAAATATACATATGATCACATTCACCGGAAAGAATTTGTACCTGTACATGATACACAGCTTGTTCTTTTTTCCCATTCCTCTACCCTCCCTCAAGTCTCTTTTTGTATTAAGGATTTTCAGTGGTATAGAAATTACTTTTAGGGGAAAAAATTTCATGTATATATGATCTAATCTCACAAATACTTAAAAAAAGAAAGAGTAGGACATATACTAAATTGTTAATAATAGTTAAAGGTGGAATTGTAGATAATTTTTCCTTCTTTAGCCTTCATATTTCTCCCAGGATCAGATAAAATATATTCTCAGAAAATAGAGTTTTAATGTGAGTTAAATTATCAGAGACTAAAGCTGATGTCATATCATAGGGAAATTATCTATGGTTTTCAAAAAAAGTATGGTAGTTTATAATTGCTTGATTTTCTTTTTTTTCTAAGTTTCATGCAGAAATTTATTTTGACCACGAGTTACAAAGTTATGTCCTTGTGGATCAAGGCAGTCAAAATGGCACAATTGTTAATGGAAAACAGATTCTTCAGGTGAGTAAATATATGTTAGTTAATTAGACATTATTAAAACTAACTGAGATTATTTTTTAAAGAACTGAAGGTTCAAGGGGCTGGGGATTTAGCTCAGCAGCATAAGCGCCTGCCTTGCAAGCAGGCGGTTGTGAGTTCGATCCCTGGTACCGATAAAAAACTGAAAAAAAAGAACTGAAGGCGGTAGTCATTATAGATGGTATTTGATTTGGATCAGAGTTGAAGTCCAATTGTTGTATTATTTGGAAGGAATTTCCAGAAAGAGTAGAAAATTTATATAATCAGTGGATACTTAACTTTTGACTGTTGATTTTCTAATTATGTATCTATGCATTCTTTTCAAAGAAATTTGTTTACTTCTTTAATTATTTATTTGCTTATGGTATAGGAGATCGAACCCAGGGCCTTAACACTAAGGTACATCTCCAGACCTTTGTATTTTTAACTTTGAGTCAGTATTATGAAGTAGCCCACCTGCTATCTACTGTCTCAGCCTCCCACATAGGTCAGATCACAGGCATTGCCACCAGGTCAAGCCAGTACTTTTTTGTTTTTTTAATTATGTTAATGGAAATATCACTAAACTAGAAAATTCCATAAAAAGCAGGAACTGTGTCTATCCAGTTAATGTGTATATTTCTACATGTACCAAAGACTTTGGACTGGAGTAAAAAATATGTGGAAGAAATGGAGAAAGCGGTAGAGAGAGAGGCTATATTCTCAGTCTTTAACACATGCCTACAATCCCATTGCTTTCCAAGAGGCTGAGGCAGGAGGACTGTTGTGAGTTCAAGGACAGGCTCGGTTACAAGTGAGCTCAAGGCCAGCCTGAACTGCACAGTGAGACCCTGTCTCAAAAAACCAAAACAAAACAAACATGAAAAACTTGAAATAAAATTGAATTATCAACACGGAAGAAGAAAAAAGCAAGGGGTGATGCATTTACCCCTCTCTTAGTGCTCCATCTTGCTCACTAGGGTAATTCTGTCATTTGGAAATGCATTTTTGACATCCAGAGCTGAGCATGTATGGTAGGACTCAGCAGTTTGTCTCCTGTAGGAGAACATTTTGTGTGTGTGCTCTTGGATCGAACCCAAGGCCTTGTGCGTATTAAATGCATATGTATGCTACCACTGAACTATACTCCCAGTCCCTCGTAGGACGTTTTTATGAGATGTTTGTCATGTTGGAAAAGTGTGCATATGTGTCCAGTCTCACTGAGAATAATTTCAGACATTATAATCAGACATTACTTAACAGTGGATGTAAAATGACTATGTGTGACTGCTCTGGATCTGTTTTACCAAATTTTCCTTCTCCAGCCAAAAACTAAATGTGACCCTTATGTGCTTGAACACGGAGATGAAGTGAAAATTGGAGAGACTGTGTTGTCCTTCCACATTCACCCCGGCAGTGACACCTGTGATGGCTGTGAGCCAGGGCAGGTTAGAGCCCACCTCCGCCTCGATAAGAAGGACGAATCTTGTGGTACGTGAAGCACACTGGCAAGTGTGTGCTGACTCCATGTTCTAAGGCAGTGTTGCTGCTGGCTCATGTCTAATTGGTGTGATGAGAGTATTGAGATCCATGAAGCCACTGGCCTTGTGTCCAGCTGATGGAATAGTGGATGGAAATGCATTTCCATGTCAGTGAATATTACAAGACTGAGAAGTGAAATACATTTGGAGTTTGAGACATAGACTAATAGATTATATACTTGACATTTGTTTTTGTTTACTTTGTTCTGTTTTATTTTTGTGGTCAAAGGATTGAGCTCAGGGCCTCCGACATTAGGGCAAGCATTCTACCATTGAATATTCTTTCAGCCTGCTCTGTCATAAAATATTAAGACAGAAAACAGTAGACCTACGCTCTAAAGGTTATTGATTTCTGTCCCTTTGATAATTGGTGTTAGTATATTGTCTGTGAATACCAATATTGTATTGTTTTGTTTTTTTGTACTGGGGATCGAACTTACAACCTCATGTTTGCCAGGCAGTTACTTACGCCTCTGAGCCAAATCCCCAGCCCACCAATATTTTTTATAATAGCAATTTAGAGTATTGCCATAGTGCTTTGAATTTATGCATCTAAAGCTTCTATAAGTTCAATACTTTGAAGTAGTAAGGGAATTCTTTTTATTTCAACTTTCTCTGTGTATGTTTCTTTGTGTATGTTTCTATGTGTATAAAGTGTATGTTTTTTGTTCTGGTACTAATTGTGTATATGAAGTGTTTGTTTTGTGTTCTGGTACTAATTTGAAAATGAATATGTCACATTATACAGTAACAAGACTTGGATTCTGTGATTTTTGTTTTCATTTTATACATTTGTATGTTCCTTTGGAAAATTTATTTAATATTTCTGTGTCTAGGATTCTGTTGCAATAATCATGTTGAACAAGATGCTTGCTGTTCAGTTTGGTATCTGTGCTGTTATGTCCTAATCTTTGAGTTTTGATTTGCTTTCCAAAGTATATTTAGTTTTCAAAAAGCTAAAAGCATGTTGCTATAATCCAAGATCCTTTAATGTTTATTCAACTTCTGGTTAATCAAGATAGGGTTAATAATACTGGTTTTTAAATTACAATAGCATTAGTATTAATATTTTATAATCTTATCAGATTTAATAAGTTTTCACTAAACTTACTTTTTTCGTTTCAGCTGGTCCAGCATTAAGTAAGGAGGAAAAAGAGTTGGAAAGAAGAAAAGAACTAAAGAAAATACGAGTAAAATACGGTTTACAGGTAAGGTTGTTAAACATTGTTTCATATGTTAAACCATGTATCTGGTTTTGAATAAAAAATGCCTTTAGCTATACTAAGTAAATTATGTATAACCAAAAAAAACTACTTAGCGTGCATTTTGAGATTTATTTCTTTTAGTTTTGGTCTACCCAACAGCTTCCTAACAGCTATTAAGATTGGAATGTAAAAGTGCTAATAATAGCTTGCATCTGAGTAGAACTTTCTGACTCTAAACAAAAATGTTGCGTTGAGTTGCCATAAAAGAACACAGAGGACTAATTCTGATTTTTAGACTTATGATAAACTGTTTACGACAGTATCATATTGGCTTAAAGATGAAACGAGTCTAGAAACAGGCCAATATATATGGCTGTGTGATAAATATATCTGACAGCTGATTTTCAACAAAGATATGAAGGAAGTTTGGTGGCAAAAGTGTGGATTTTTTTTCCCCAACAAATGGTTCTAGAATAACTAGCTATGTAAAAGAAAGAAAAGCAAATGAATGAACAACAAAGAGTTCATCTGTGCTTTGTGCCTTATACAAATAGTGACCTGAAAATGTATCGTAGATGTAAATATAAACCCTAAGACTATTAGAAACATTTAAGAAAATGGGTTAGCAAAGATTTCTAAGATACATAATAACAAAAGCACAACCTGTAAGAACAAATATGCATCCTCAAAATTTAAAATTTCTGCTCTTTTAAAGATACTGTTAACAGAATGAAAAGAAACTTGGCATGATGGCATAAACCTATATTCTTAGCTACTTGAAGGCTGATGCAGGAGGACTACAAGTTTATGGCCAGCCTGGGCAACTTAGCAAGACCAATATTAAGAGTCCAGTTTACCTGATCTCAATCCCCTTTGACAGAAGTATGGGTGGGAGGGGAGGGAAAAAGAGAGACCCAGAAACAGTGAAAACATGAGCCATAGACTGGAAAAAATCTTTACAAATCAGGTGTCTGATAAAAAGCATATTTAGAATATTGGGAAAAACTCAAACTTCAGTGTGTAAAAAGCAACTCAAAAATCAGACAAAATGGTTGCCTCGCACTGTGGTGATCACATGTAGTCTCAGTTACTTGCAGAGCTGAGGCAGGATTGCAGGAATGAGTGAATGAATGAATGAATGCCAAGGACACACATAGACACTATCAAATAATATCACACATGAAAAGATGTTCAGTATTATTAATCACTAGTGAAATTTGCATTTAAGCCTTAGTGGGATATTACATGTCTATTAGAGACTGAATTTTCACACTGACTATACCAAATGTTGTAAGGGATGTAGAAAAACTGTAATTTATATAACACTGGTGAGAGTAAACTGGTCCAGCTGCTTTGGAAAATAGTTGGTAACTTTAAAAAAGCTGGAAGGGGAAAAGCTGGCTCAATGGTGGAATATTTGCCTACCATGCAGGAAGACCTAGGTTCAATCCCCATTTTAAAATCCACTTACACCATTAAAAAAAAAAGGGGAGGGGGAAATATACACCTTCTGTATGATCCATTTCTTCTACATCTAGGTGTTTATACAAGAGAAATGCAGGCATGTGTTGATACAAAGTCTGGTGAGCAGGCCAGCACTCGGGAGGCTGAAGCAGGAAGCTTGCTGAGAGTTCAAGGCCAGCCTGGACTACAAAGTGAGTTCAAGGCCAGCCTGAACTGCATAGTGAAACCCTTCTCAAACACACACACACACAGGCTGGTGAGCACACGTTCTTAGCTGTTGTTTTGTAATAGTCTACAACTAGGGTGCCATCATATGCAGGTAAACAAACTGTACTGTATTGTCTCCTGGGGAATAAACTCACTAGGATAGTGGTTTCGTGTTTTTTCTTTGTTTAACAACAAATTTCAAACTTTACAGTATGTGCTTTCCTGGAGTTGCTCTCCAGTCCCCAGCATCCCTGGATGCCTGTCATCCGTTTTATGTTAGAGAACAGCAAGCAGTGACACTGGGAAAAGGAAACCCTCCCTGATGACTAAAGAGCCCTGAATACTTCTTTGTACCACTGCCACAGCTCAACAAACCTCTGCTCTCAAACCACCTATGCTGTAGCAGGCTGTTACATGTCTTACTTTGGGGATTATGATGTCGTTATGTTGCATTCCCTGGCATGGAGTTTAATATTTAACTCAGTGAATGTTTGCTGGATGATGGGTTAGTCATTACAAATAAAGTGGTATTGAAGCAACAAGCTATTAGTATTACCAGGTGAAAGAGTACTTACCTTTTTTCATTTTTTAAAGACTTTCATATTTTTCCCTTTCAAAAAGCAAGCAGTATCATACTGTGTTAAGTCCTTACCACAGGAACTTTCAGTTCCTTAGAAAAAAGGGGAAGTAGATTATTTCTTCCAACCTCAAGGGTTCTGCATTTTTTTTAAATACTAGTAATTCATATGACAATATAAGAATATAGTCAAGATGTACTACATTCTCATTGTTACTTCCTTGTTATTTGTATTTATGTTATGGCACAACTTGAAATAATATAAAAAATTTAAACATTTCTAATAGCACTTCATCTTGTGTTGTATTGTCACTACATCAAACCTTGTTTCCAAAGCAAAGCAAATGTATAAAAATTGTTTTTTATCTATTAGCTTTCTTTTCATCAATGAATATTTTGTGTTAAGAACACAGATTATGAAGATGAGAAAGCATTGAAGAATCCAAAATATAAAGACAGAGCTGGAAAACGCAGGGAGCAGGTTGGAAGTGAGGGGACTTTCCAGAGAGATGATGCCCCTGCGTCCATCCACTCGTGAGTACTGAGGGCCACCATTGAGACAGCCATGGTTCATCATTACATTCGGAGGTGGCCTGACTTTTAGAGCAGTGTGTCATGGTTGGGCACCTTTAAAGGGACATCAGAATGAGACTGAAACACTGAAGTCTGTTTACATTTTAATGCTGGTGTTCGATTATTCTCAGAAAATTATACATGTGCACACATGTAAACACACCCAGGCATGCATGTCGACAGTCTAGATACCCAGTTATGTAAGTATACTTTTATGTGTACTAAACAGGGAGCCTGGGCTAGTGAGAAATTGGTGTGCTAGTGGTTTTTATAATTATTTTAACATTCAAGTATTTTCTCAGTGACTCCGAAACATTATTTTGCTCATGTTTCTTTGGCTTAGTTCTTTGTTTTGGATACAGTAGCTTCAATAAACATGAAAAATGGGGTTTTGAGGCCTACGGTATGTCTCTATTTGTATACTTTGTCATATATTAGCTGTATTTCTTCTCATTCTAGGGTGAGTCAAAATTTAAATCTTTCATGTAGAAGTTATAACTAATTACAAGATTTTGAATTCAGTACTGTGTTTGGTTGATTCCAAGATCTGCTTATGAGAGTTTTACAATTACAAATGGCAGCAGTGGTACTTCTAACAATTTATGGAGTCAGATTTAATGAGTTATAGTGTTACTGGTTCATTACTGAGCAACATGGCATATTGTCTGAGTATTTTTAAAGTAACTGTTGGAGAATATGAAGATAATATTAGAGTTAAATTGGAGGGCAGGATTAAAAAATGAAACTGGTCTGACCTGTTGTGGTTTGTTGTTAGTAGAGTGCCAAAGTAGCATATTTAGAACTGAAAATGTAACAAAGAATATAAAATTAAATCTTGAATTAGCAGAACGTAAAATTACAACAAAATGCAAATAGTGAGCAATAAGTGGTTTTTTTTGTTTTTTGTTTGTTTGTTTGATACAGGGTCTCACTATTCTAGCCTTATGAACTCACTTTGTAGCCCTTGCTGACCTTGAATGCTCAGTGATCCTCTTGTCTCAGCCTCCTGAGCCACTGGGATTACAGGAGTGTGTCACTATGCCTAGACTTTTGAGTAACAAATTTTATTTTACCTTTTTATTGACTTAAGTATAGAAAGGTATATAAATTATATATGTCCAGCTTAATTATATACCATGAGATGAATGTATTGTAGAATACACATTTCTTGGACAATAAATAAGAAATTACATTAATTCCAGTAGCCCACCTTTTGGTACCCCCTGCTGATCTCTATCCCTCACCTTCTGGCAGGCAACCATCCTGACACCAATAGGTTAATTTCACTTATTTTAAAAGTTTAAATGGAACAACTTAGTGTTCATTGTGTGTCTTTATTCTTATCCTGCATGACTTTGTTAGGTATGGTTTATTGTCATTGCCATATAGTATTCTGTTTTATGAATTTATTTGTCCATTTGACCATTGATGGACATCTAGATTTTGCCAGTTGTGGCTGTTAGATTGCTGTAAAACAGTCTTATATCTGTTATTTGAAGTATGGGTGCACTTTTCTGTTTAGTATGTGAAGGAGTAGAATTTGTCTTTTCCATTTTATTAGGTAATGCCAAAGAGTTTTCTAAAGTACTTACACCAATTAAGAAGATCTTTTATTAATGAGTTATCACCCTGATTTTTCTTTCAGTGAAATCACTGATAGTAACAGAGGTCGGAAGATGCTGGAGAAGATGGGCTGGAGAAAAGGAGAGGGCCTGGGGAAGGATGGCGGAGGTGTGAAAACCCCGGTAAGACCAAGCTCCCTCCCGTGTTCTTCTAGAGCATGCGCACTGCAGCTGAGGCGGTGCTCTGAATCCTCGCAGTGCAGTGGAAGCCCAAACGGGCCACGCGGTCTCTGTGGCCTATGCCATTCACAGATGTGGGCGTTTGTTGTCTGGCATTTTATGTTTTGTGGGAGCCTCTTAGCATTCTGTGTTATGTAAAGGCTAAGATGGAAGTGTTGGTCCCTGTGCCAAGCGTTGTTCTGGCTTATTGGGGTGATTTGCTTTGTGGTGCTGGGACTCAAACCTGGGGCCCTTAATGTAGAACTCAGGCTCTGCCACTGAGCTGCATCACCAGTCTTTAGTATGATGACATCCTTCCTGGAGCTGTCCTGAACATTGGAGGAACAATGAGTTCACTGACAGATAGATTCTGTATTAGCTGGAGAATGTTAGGTTCAAGAATCAGAGCACATAACAATACCCTGTGGAGAATAGTGTCCCACAGAGGTGTAATTCCTTACTCCTATGGTTCATAGACTCTTGTAGTTATCTTTTGCAAAAAGAAACTTATAAAATATCCTAGTATCATAATTTCATGTTATTACATGTACTTATAGAAATAAGTGGATCAGTATGAATACGATAGTAATTTTCTCCTTTTCATTGAAATACACTATAAAGGGGCTGGGGATTTAGTTCAGTGGCATAAGCACCTGCTTTGCAAGCGCATGGTCGTGAGTTCGATTGCTGGTACCGATTTAAAAAAAAAAGAGGAAAAAAAGAAATACACTATAAAGAACATGGATTGTAGCAGACCTGGGTTAGGGTATGTATGTGACCTGTCATTGATTAGTTGTATGGGTTTAGGCAAGTTTAGAGGGAATATTTTTCTCTGATGGCCTGAAGATAAACCCCTAAGGTTGGCACTTACATAAGGCACTTAGTAGCTGGTAGTTTTGAATGTTTACAGAATGATGAGAAGTCCTTCCTTCATGTTAGGAAAATAAAATTCTCTTTATGATTTTTACTATTCATTTAATTTTGCAGGGCCTTGCTCATGCCTAGCACTGAGCTGTACTCGCAGCCCTTCTTTTTGATTCTGATGTGTAACTTCTTATTTACTTACTTAGGGGAGAGTGGGGCAGGTTTAAATGTGCCATGGCCTTTACTTCCTTTTACGATGGGATTAGGTAGCACGTGGGTGTAGTTTGGTGGCTGCTCCTTAAGCAGCCCTGTTTTCTGCAGTGTTGACTGTACTTAGAAGCAGACAGTGAATGGCAAGGTTAATTTCTACAGATAATAGTGTATGCATTCCCATATGTATTTGATGCACTGAAAGATTTTCATTCACATCAGTTTTTAATAAATGAAAGAATTTTGGTTCGAATACCATGTTGACAGCTGGGCGTGGTGGCTCACGCCTGTAATCCCAGCACTCAGGAGGCTGAGGCAGGAGGATCGTTGCGAGTTTGAGACCAGCCTGGGCTACAAAGTGAGCTCAAGGCCTGCCCAAACTGTATAGCAAGACCTCGTCTCAAAAAAGACAAAAAAAAAGAATACCATGTTGAACACTGCAGATGTCAATGTGTTTAAGTAAATTCTGTGCTGAACTTTTGGTGACAGATCCAGCTTCAGCTTCGGCGAACACACGCAGGCTTGGGGACAGGCAAACCATCCTCCATTGAAGATGTTCCTCTTCTTCAAAGCAAGAGCAAAAAAAACTGGGACAAAGCACGAGAGAGGTTTGCTGAAAGCTTCCCCGAAACTAAACCTCCAAAGGATGCTGCAGGGGTCATTCCTTGGGTAAAAGGGACTGGGGATTGAGGGGTTGTCACAGAAAAAACTTCAGCTGCTTTTACAGAAAAAATTTGGAGACTCTTATTTTATTGCAAAAGCTTTTCCCCCAGTAGAGTCAGTGGCACAGAGACTGTGTCACAGATATTCTCCCATAGTTCAAAAATGTGTAATGAAGAGTGGTTTGCAGCTTGTAAAAACTCGTTTTAATGAATGAGTAAACTGTAACTGAATGAACTTCCATGGTGAGTGGACTGAAGTTGCCCGGCACAGATGAGCACATGAGACTTTCTCTTCTCTCTTACGGCATCCATATATATAAGTAGCCATTTGATCAGAATTCATGTGGCCACTAAGGACTGAAATGTACATTGTTCTTCACCTGTTATAAGATGCACAGCCAGAGAAAAATCAGAAGTTTACAGAAACAGTTCTGACTATATGCATCCTGTGGACATCCTTTAGGACTTTAAGAAAACAGGTGCAGTATGTAAATTTTACTGTCCTTGAAATAGCTGGTGTTGTTACTCAAGAACTGGTGAACAAGTGACATGTAGAAAATCAGCCTTCCAGTGTTTTCTTCTGTGAAGAAACTTTTGATTTGTATTGCGTATTCATTGTTTATACCTGGTTCATTTCTAGCTAAGAAAATACTTAGATAGGGACATTGGAGTACGGTATTGACACAGTCTGTTTGCCAGCTTTTGTAGTTTTGCAGATTTCTAGTGCTAGTGGATTTCTAGCCAAGGCTCCAACTCAGATATCTACCGAAAATGTCCTCCAATACAATAAAAGCATTTTACTATTGAAACAGCGTCTTAAACATGGTGGTACATTTTGAATTCACAGCCAGCCAGCATCTTGCTCCCTCAGCTTGCAAGGTGAGAGCAGAGGAAGGTCACTCTCTGGTGGAGAATGCGGGTAGCTTCCTGGGCGAGGGAGCCCTGCTCTCTGCTCACTACTCTTTCTTTCCTTTCTTCCAGCTTTTTTGTTTGCTTTTTGCTGGGAAATTAACAGTGAAACTGACTCTTCTCTGACAGTGAATGTGATTTATGGGTTTTTCATCTATGATAAAGTAATGTTTTGAAGTCTTAGAAAAAAGGAGAAGAAACCTCAGAAAATAAAACTGTATAGAGGGAAGGTAACTCAGAAAGGGAAGCTGCCCACAGATGTTGCCCGTCTGCATGGCATATAGTTTAGGGAGAACGGGTTGGGAGAGACAGCCTGTGGGCCAAGGCTGGGCTAGCAGGGGGCCTGCAGCCCTGCTGGATGAAGTCCTTCACCCAGGTATGCATGTGTGTGCACAGTAGGCTTAGAGAAGGCAGGCGCACCCTGCAGGATTTTCTCTGAAATAGATCAAAACAATGATTGGTCTAAATGTGGTTCTGCTGTTGGTGTCTGGAATGGGGAACAGCAAAGGACTTCAAAATGGATTTTGGCTTGTGCTGGGTCTCACTCATTGGGTTAGTACATGGCTGTCTAATATTTCCCATTTTTATTATTACATAGTTTCATAGTTTCTTTTGCTAAGAAAATGGAATTTTATGTATGGTCACATTCTATGTATTAAATTTATGTAGTATTTGCATTGTTAAGTCACATTCTGCAGATCCAAACTCGCAGGGCTCTGCTGGGTAGAGTTTAATGTACTGAATAACACCTGTGTCTGTTTCCATGTGTATGATAAGAATAATTCTTAATCACATGCCTGTATTGGCTGGCTAATGAGAACATGTATAAACACTAAAAGTAGTACAGATGTGAACTTCTGTTTGTTTAGAAGCATAACTGAGAGTTACACAGCTTGGTATATGCATATGTTTTATAAGTTATGTACACAGTAAATTTATTAATAGCTTTTAAATGTTAATTTTAAGTAGAGCTAGAAGTTGCTAGCTTTTGTTTTATTTTGGAGGAGGTATTAAAATTGAGCCCAGGGCCTTTACAGTGGCTACATTCCTAACCTTTTTATATTTTGAGATAGGGTCACTCTAAGCTATTAAATTGCCCTTGCCGGGCTTGGTCTTGCAATCCTCCTGCCTCAGCTTCCCAGAGTGCTGGGACTACAGACACATACTACCAGGCCTGCCTAGGTTGCTGAATTTTAAACAACCTAACATCTCATATTTTTGCCAGAATATGAGGAACTGGCACAGTAGAAAATAGAAGATAACATTTCACATTCAGCAACAGAATTTTCTGGTAGAGGAATAACTTTTATCCTCAAAAAGGAGGGTTTTTCTGCTTTAGAAACAAATTTTACCTCCAGTATTTCATTGTTATTCTAGCTGTGACTTCATGAAAATGGTTCACCTAAATGAAAAACCTTTCAGTTTTTTCTGTTCAATATTACTAACTTGGCATATTTTTCGGGAACAGGTAAGAGAAAATAGAAATCTCAGACATAGGAAGGCATTGGCTGTGCAGGCCTGACAGGTGGGAACCTGTGTATCCATTCTGCCTTGTTCCATCGCCTCCCACATGGGTGGCTGCAGCACACACGCACAGGGCATGTGTGGGGGCAGTGCCTTGCACCTGCCTGCTACCTGCTGCCTGCCACGGAGTTCCGAGGGCACAGTCAGCTCAGAAGCCACAGAGGTGTATTGCGAACGCAGTGTGTCAGCCCCTCACACAGCCCTATTTTGCCACTTCTGTCATACTGGCTTCTTTTACTTTGAGCAAGGTAAAAATACCTTCAGCCCAAGTTTTTTGGTTCATAATAAAGAGGCAGGAAGCTGGGCCAGGCATGGCAGTACACACCTGTAATACTAGCACTGGCAGAGGAGGCAGGAGCACCACACTGTGGAGCCACGTCAGAACAATTTAGCAGCTCCGTCTCAAAAATTAAAGGAGCTAGAGATGGATTTGTTCCAGGGTTTTAAAGGCAAAATTCTTGGGAAGTTGGAAGATTTTTGCATGAGTAGCCATTTGGTGAAATGATAGGGAGATTATACAGGCCAGCCCTAGCTCTTAGTACCCATGGGAGCACAGAGCTACAGAGACAGCTCAAGAAGGAGAGTTCAGATACTGTGTAAAAGCTTTCAGCATTATTTGTTAAACAATTTGCACAGGCCAGGCCAAGTGTCCTAGGTATTGGAGGGGTAAGGCGTGAATAAAACAGTAAAGATGCGCTGTCTTTGTGAGTGTACGTTTAGTTTAGATAGTATTTGGCTGAGTGTAAAGGCCATGTATGAAGGCTCTGACAGTTCCATAATCCCAGCTGGTTCTTTTCATTCCAGATTTTAAAGCTGAACTTCTTGGGAAGGTGGGGGAGGAGCAAGAACTCAGAGGCATCCTTTTTTAGAGTATAAAACAGTAAAACCAACCAAAACAAACCAATGTAAAAGATACAGGACTTCAAAACATTAGAAGATCAACAATAATTACCATAATGCCTTTCAATGTCTTCAAAATAGCTGCAGATAACTTTGGACATGGTAAAAATCAAAACAATAGAATAGAAGCAATAAAAACAAAACAATGCAGTAAACATCTTCAAAATAAGCATATAGTAAATTCAAAATTGCTACCATAATATATCTTGCTATCTTGGAAGCAGCTGCTCCTACCATCAGATTTAACATAAAAGAATAAAACTCAACCCAACAAAACAATGGAAATGATACAGGACTTCAAGACAAGTCCATAGGGAATCACCAATGGCTGCAACCCTCAGGAGAACCCCCTCAGAGCATCTTTAAGCAGATCTACTTAGGGTCCATCTGTGCCTTCAGAAATGTTTTATTATGTTCCTGAGGGCTGGGATGCACAGATAGGCATAGTAAGAGCTAATGTGCATCTCTGATGGCCTGGGAATGAGAGTGAGTCCCTGCTCAGATGTTGGGTTTTACAACTTTGAATCTTAGTGGGTTATGAAAGTACAAAACAAGTGGGGGGAAAAAGACAAAACAAAAACTTAAGAAAACTTGGTCACTAGATACTGATGTTGAAAAAAAACTTGTGAACCAGAAAGTTCCTGGAGGTTGAAACAGACATAGTCGACTCTGGGAAAGTTGTAAAACAGTCGTTTCTGCACATGGAAGAAGGATGCAGACTTTTAGAAATTATTTCAGAAAAGCTAGCTCTTGGTGTGTGCATTAAAATGCAGTGATGTTTCATTGCCAGCAAGCCAAGGACAAGAAGTTGGTGGATTTTGCTAAATGTGTTTAAACATGTGGCAGTGTGTTAGCTTCTAATTACTAGCAGACCTGAGGGTAAGAAGGTTGCCAGCTCACTCATTTGATCACTACTTGGCTTGACCAAAGCCCATGAGAGTATATACTAAAAGAAAGCTCTTGTTACCACTTAATGTTGTTCCTTAAAGCCTCATTTTAATACTGTGAAATCAGATTTCAGAGAATGTCATTAAAAGAAACATTTAAAAAGAAACACTTAACACTATTTAAGTATATAATGACTCCCAGTGCTACCTAAATTCCTTCACATCATAAAGCAACTAAAGTAGGCTTTAATCTTTACATTACCACATTTCCTTTATTTAACCTTACTGTGCAATGCTACCAAGACTAATTTATTAGTCACACAAAAGTAACTCACATTGCTTTATGATAGTCTCACCTTACCAGAAATGTTAATCTGGTTAATCACCTGCCATATTCGTCTCAGTTAGCTATGAATGATTGGCAGATATCTTTAAAAATACAGTTTATCCTGGAAAAGCAACTATTTGCTGACTTAATATGGTATACTGTCTTAAAGACATGGATGAACACAGAAAGACTCTAAGCAGTGGAGCTCTTTTAGAATAACTAGTCTTCTAGGGTGACCACTTTGAAGATGGTTAAATATTCACTTGTGGGTCAGGGATTTAACTCTGAGGCATAAGTGCCTGCTTGGCAAGTGCAGGGTTGTGAGTTTGAGCCCCACTACATATATATATATATAATCACAAGTGATTACAAGCCCTCTACATATATATATATATATATATATATATATATATAATCACTTGTAAGGTGTATCAGTTTTTCTTTATTTTAAAGAAAATAAAACCAAGGAAAATAAAACAAAACCAATGGAAAATAAACCAGTATTGGTGACACAGGACTTCAAAACCTTATGAAACCAACAGTGGTTACCACCATGCCTTTTGTTAGCTGCATATATCTTCAGACACAGTAAAAATTGAACAGAATAGAATAGAAACAATAAAACCAAAACAGTGAATGCAATAAAGGACTTCAAAACAGGCCACTAGCAAATTCAAAAGGCTACCATAATGTGTCTTTCAATAGCTGCTCCTGCCTTTAGATTTAACATAAACAAAACAATAGAAAATGAAATTCAACCCAGCAATAAAAATGGTATGGTTTCCTGGCCAGGATCATATCCTGGTGAAGCCTGGATCTCTCCTGACATGTAGCCTGCAGTTGGCACTGATTCAGGGAGAGAGGCTTGGATGTGGTTGTCCCCACTCCAGCAGCAGGTCTCACTATGCAATTCAGACAACCTTGAGCTCACTTTGTAGCCCAGGCTGATCTGAAACTCCCAACGATCCTCCTGCCTCAGCTTCTCGAGTGCTGGGATGACAGGCGTGCACCACCATGCCTGGCAAGATGTATCAGAGTACTTAGCAGCTACAAGGTATGCTGAGTTTGGACTGGAACAGCCCAGTGGATAAACAAAGAGTGGAAATTTTGTTTGATCGAAAAAGTCCTATTGGGAAAGAGAAGGACTTGGCAAATTCATGGCTTGCCTGCAGTTGCTACTGTTCAGTAAGGAACAAATAGAAGTCAGAGTTCAAACTACATCAGAATTTTTCTAAATGATATTTTCCTTATAGCAACTCTGAAAGATATGTGTTATCCCCATTTTACAATTAAGGAAACTGGCTTTCAGAGAGTTAGGGTAATTCCTAAAGTTAACTCCTAACAAAAGTGGTAGGAAGCTTGAATTTTTTTTTTTTTTTTTTTTCTGGTACCAGGGATTGAACTCATGACCTCACACTTGCCAGGCAGGTGCTTGTACTGCCGAGCTAAACCCCTAGCATTTACTTGTTTTGTTTTGTACTGGGGATTGAACTCATGACCTCATGCTTGCCAGGCAGGCATTTATGCCACTGAGCTAAATCCCCAAACTTCAGATTTTTAAAAAAATGATTTTATGTAGTGTTGGGGGGATCAAACCCACAGCCTCAAGCATCCTAGCAAGTACTGTAACACTGAACTCCATCTCCAGCTCAGAAGCTTAGATCTTCATTCACATTTGCCTGGAGTACTGGCAACTTCTCATGCCTCAGCACACAGCTTTCATCATCACACAAACAAGAGTTTTCAGAAGTATGCAGGCCTCCCTCCCCATGGGAGGAACTCTGGACACAGACCCTCTTGCCAGGTATGTCTCAGAAAAGTCTGTGGGCACTCCCTGCACTGGCAGTGGATAGGTAAGAAGGGACAGACGAGGGGCCCACTGTAGTATTGGCTTCTAGGAAAGGGCTCACCCAGCAAGCTCAAGCACATCTCTCACATTTGCCTTGATTCACAGTGTAACGCTGCGCTAAGCAAGATGATGCACCTCTTCAAAGCTGTACCAGTCTTTGGAATGTATTAATGGATTACACAGAGTGGCACAATAATAGCTTAAGGTGGTGGAAAGATTTATGGTGTTGACCAGCTGACCTTAGCATAGTGTCTGGTAAGTGTGGAAGGGAGAGCGGAGCAATGTAGTGTGAGACTTGACTAGTCCACGCTGGCCTTGGAGATAAGGCATGGGGCAGTCCCTGGAAAGTGGGAAAGGCAGAAATGATCCTCTAGCACCTCCAGAAAGAAGCAAGACTGCCAACATGCCGAGCTTGTTGGACCTCTGACTGCAGAGTTGTAAGACAGACACATGTTCAGTTACTGAAATGTGCTAATCTGGCTTCCTTTGGGAGAGCTAGCTGGCCTGCCCCAAATGCCAGATCTCCTGGGCTGGAAGAGCCACCATGTATCCAGCATTAACAAGGCACTCAGGCCAAGAGCCTGCAATCCCAGGGCTGCCCAAGAGATGGGCTGCAAGAGCAGCTCTGCAGCCGCAGGTATGAGCTGGTCACAGGCTGCACATCTGCCCCTCACAGCTGTGCGGCTGTCAGTGGGGCAGTTGCCCTGAGATTTGAGGCACCTGTAAACCATGAAAATTCTGTCTGCCCTGCCTGCCAGGTGTTGTCTTGACAAAAGGGCATCCAGCATGGAGGTTATGCGTTTACTATCTTCAGTTCTCCAAAGTGAAGCTAATGGAATTGGTGCCTTCATACACTGTTTTTAGTCACACACGTATGTGTGTAACACTGATCATTTTCTTCTAATCGCGCAGTTAACAAGAAAATCCAGTGCAGCCAAGCAACTGCTATTCTAATGTATTTCCTATAATTACGGTGTATGAGAGCCAAATGATTGCTTCATCCATTTTCTAGGCAAAGACGCATGTTCAGGTGGTTGAAAAGTAAGGTGAGACCTTTAGGAGTACATCTCCTGTGTCCATGGCAGAAAAACCAGAACTTTAAAAATAACATAAATGCAGTGTTTATGAATTCCTTCTGAGGGTCTAAGGAAGTGGGCCATAATGTGAAGTCAGACGTCCTCAAAGGACACCAGCTTTTCTGCAGCCTTCAGGGACGAGCTTAGGTGCCTGAAGGGTCCCAGCCATTGCAGGTTTGGTTCTCATTCTACTTCTCCCTCATCTCCTCCTCCTGCCAGATTTCAGCCTGAAGAATGAACGTGTACTTTACCTCATGGCAGGATGAGCTGAAGTTCAGGGCACAGCGTGTGTCCTAGCACCAGCTGTCCATCCTGTCCCTGTGTGCTCCTCTGCCACAGGCAGCACCAGGTAGGACCCCAGCCAGCCCAGTCACGCACAGCAGGAGTGCTGCTGCTGCAAGACCATGTGGCACCATCCTGTGGGCAGTGACAACTGTGAGCATCTACCACAGCAGTCTGCTGAAGCCTCCTCTGTGCTCACATCTCTCTTAGCTGATGATACCAAGCTGGACTCAGGTGCCATCACCTCTGTCTCCCAAGACTGAATGAATCCCAGGGACTTATTTTCCTCATCCACCAAATGAAGGAGCTAGAATGGAGCAGGGCTTCTTTCTCTCCAGGTTTGCCTAGAAATGGAGATGACATTCATCCTTGTGTTGGAGATTCTGTTTAAGGACACTGAATGGTGAGGGACAGGATATGTTTGTAAGTAAGGTTTTTCTTATGATGGAAACTCATTTCATTGTACAAGTAGCTACAACATGCAGCAGTGTAAAACAGAGAGCAAGACCTCTCCCTCAGCTGCCCAGGCAGTGCCAGACACTGTGGTGTTCTCCCTCCTGGAGCAGGCCCCCAGCCTCCTGCAAGCACTCTTTCTGCAGGGAGTGGCTGGGATTCTAACCTGAAGTGTTTCGGTGCTCCTGACAATTGATGAAGTAGAAGAGTATCATTTATAAAAGTGAGTTTTGGTCCTGAAGCCAAATTCAGACCTTACAGCCTTACAAATGTATGAGAAGTTAAATTCCACTACGTAAGAGTGAACTTCTAATTAGTTATTAAACTAATATAAAAACTGCAGAAGACAGAAGCGGACTTTATGGGATTTTTTTTCTTGCTGTATCTTATTAATTTCCTCATGTTCCAGACAAAACACTTGACACCCACAGTTTAAAGGAGGAGTTTATTTTGGCCCACAGTCTCTGTCTGTCCATGGTTGGAAGCTCAAACACAGGACCTGTGTGGTAGAAGGGTCTGGGTGAAGGAAGTTTGCTCACATCAGGGAGGACAAGCAGCAGCAAGAGGTCCGAGGGGCAGGAAAGGGAAGAAGAGGTGCACCAAGGCCAGAGCCCCAGGGACCGCCTCCTCCAACCATGTCCACCTCCTAACAACACTCAGCAGCTGACTGCATCAGAGTTTGGGGGTCATTCTTGATGGAAACCTAGATGTAGCATTACATTTGTATGGCTTGTATAATAAAAAAAAGATTTATGCAAATATTCTGACAAATCCTATGCTACAAGAGTTGACTAGATTCAAACCACCCTAATAAATGCATAGAATATTTTTATTGGTCAAAGAACTTTAACAGAGTATTGCTACTTTTTTCTACTAGGAACACAAAGTACACTAATTACAGGAAAACCAACTTGTAAGTCTTAAACATAGTGGAGTTGATACCTCAAGTATTGATTGAGCAGCTTGAGTTGCAAGGCACTGTGAGGGTGGGAAGCTAAGTAAGCTACTCCTAAGCACTCAGGCCCTGACAGGACTGAGTAAAGTAGAACCCACAACCATCTGCTAGACACACTATTCCAAGAGTTGTGGGGGATACAAAAGAAAGAAATTTGAGTGAGGAGCAGTCTAGGAAGGCATCATGGGGTCTTAGAAGATGGCTGCTATTTGGTTTTATTTTTAGATGATGTTGGGGATCAAACCAAGGACCTCAAACATGGCTAGGCAAGTTCTCTACCATTAAGCAACACCCAAGCCTGAGTGGGATTTTTCACACTCAAGAGACTGAAGGGCTTTGGCAGTGGCGGGGAGGGGAGGAGGCACAAACTGAGGCATACAGTTGCCAAGGCCAGGGAGTCAGCAAGAAGCGTCCAGTTTGGCTGGAGTGTCCAGTACACATGGGAAAGGGACACACAGCTCTGGCATGCAGCAGTGAGAGACTTAAATGTAAGGCCACAGAGCCAAAGCTTTGTAAGTGATGAAAGACCTTGAAGGCTTCCAAGCAGAAAGTGATTTAAGAGCACTAACTTAGGACAGTTCTTTGGCACTAAGTTGTTAGGCAGAGGCAGTGCAGAAGTCAAACATGGCAGCTTGACCTAGACAGATGTTAAGTGGTCCCTGTGTCATGGCACCAGAAGGCAGGCAGGTTCAGGATTTTGTGGAAAGGGGCTTAGTGGAGTATCTAGAGTTCAGTGAAACTGGAAATCAGATTTGTGTTAGCAGTTTGCCTCTTTGTAAGAATCTTTGTGCTTTATGCCTTGTACTCTGCACAAGCAAAGACAATAATACATGCTGTAATAACGTTATTCTCATATTATGATATTTTATTTGTTCATAAAATATTTTCTTAGTAGTTCTTAGAGGCTGTTGAGTCTCCTCCACCTTCCAAGTCAGCATGTCATGGGAAGTTACCTCATTTAGCATGGTTGTGACACATGAATGCTCAGTAAAAGTTGATAATGTCCCTAGTTCCAGATAATTCTACTGAAATGGAAATGCAGCTAGGAGGGAAACACGTGCCCACTTGGGTGATGGACAAGGATGCACAGCTCTCAGCTGGCAGCTGAGTAACTGGGAGCCTGGCATCAGAGGTGGGCGCACTGGATTGGGATCCCCTCTCTACTGCTTAGCAGCTGTCATCTGTTCAGCTGCTTATCCCTCCCACTGCTATGCTCAGCTGTAAAACAGGCATCTGTCAATAGTTCCTCAGGGAGCCACCCAGGAAACAAAGCAAGGGGATGCACGTGACATGTGGGGCTTGTACCTGATGAACTTTGCAATGCTTAGAGAATACTGGCTATTAGTGAGGGGGAGGATGCCTAGCAGAGTGGGTGTGCCCCTTCCCTTGACCTTGGTAGGACAGCAAAGAAGGGGCACCACATGGAGCTGAGGGCCAGATCCCAGAGGAGCATTGGAGGCTAGGGGAGCAGTCACTATGCAGATTATTGTAGCTCAACAGAGAGATGAGCTGGGAGGGGACTGTGGAAAGTGGCCTAGAGAAATAAAAAAAATTTAAAAATTTAAAAATTTTAACCAACAGTAATGTGTGTATCAACAGTCATTGTACCTGAAGAGAGGTCATTGTTGAAACAATCCAGGAACTCTGATTGTGTGTTGTTTATATTCTTACCTATGGTAATCACACTGTAACCATGGAGACAAAGTCTAAGAATACACTGAAATACTTAGGGAAGGAAAGTCCTCACCCAGGCACAGGGTGGAGATAATGTAAATAAGGCAAAATGTGAACTCTGTTCAGCTTGGAGGTGGGGGGCGGCGCATATGGACATTCACTGTATTAGTCTTTCAGTTCTTGCTGGGTGCTTGGGAGTCGCCAACATAAAATAATTGAGGGCCAGAGATTTAGCTAAGAGGCATTAAGTGCCTGCCTGGCAACTGTGAGGTCATGAGTTCGATCCCTGGTACCAAAAACAAAACAAAATTTGAGAACCAAAGAAGCCTGAAGAAAACTGAGGGAACCTGTTTACACCAGAAAAGGAGTTCTTTGGTGGGAAACTGTTCCGTCTACCAAAGGCAGGATCCCAAAGAAGGAGACATTAATTGGGACAAAGGTGGACCTGAGAAGCCTGGAGTCACCCCTGGATATCGGACCTGCAGAGGAGGAGTACAGAGAGGAGGGCATGCAGGTAGCAGGCATGCTGGTCCTGGCATGCTTTGGGAGGTGGAGTGGGGCAAGGCAAACGCAGAAGCATAAACTGGCCTTGGACAGAAACCTTTGGGCCAGGAGGTTGGGGAAGGAAGCGCTGTAATGACAAGGGATGAGGTCATGTCTTGCTGGTCAGGTGGCAAATGTACAAGGCCAGAAAGGGGCAAATGAATGACATTATATGGTGCCCTGGTTCTGGGGGCGGCGCTTGAAGCCTGCCCCATAAGGCTCTAGACGGGTGAGGGTAGAGCGCTGCCATGGAAACTAAAGTCCCTTCTGCAGGACTCGGCACTGGGCAAAGACTGTCCATCATGAGCAGAGTAAAACTTATGATCCACGTTCCCATGCTTCCCTGCGTTGGTACAGCGCATAGGCACATGGTGTGAAGAATCTTTGGCATGTGTAGCAGCTCTGGTCTTAATCACGAGCCTCAAATGGTCTGGCACCAGGCTGCTGGGGCTCTCCAGTCCTCTTCTGAGCGACTGTTCCTTGCACATGTGCCTGCGCTAGGCATAGGAAGTCAAAAGCAGCTGCTAGGCAGGTCTTGCACAGGCATGAGCTTTGTGCGGGAGGCCTGGCACTGGGTATTTTGCAGTCCACGAAGGAAACATCGGAACCCCTACAGCAGGACCTCGGCAGCCTTAAGAGCTGTCCCCAAGCCCGGCCTCAGGGTCCTCTTTCGGGACAGTGGCCTGCGGCAGGGCGGTGGGCCAGCCCAGCTCAAGCAGCCTTGCCTGCAGCGCCTCACGCTCCGCCTGTAGTCGGCGCTCCAGGGCCTGCAGCGCCCTCCGCCCGCGCTCCAGAGCACGCTCACCCCGAGCCACGGCCGCCTCCCTCCGTGCCAGCTCACGCTCGCGCCGCTGGCCCTGCTCGGCCAGAGCGCCCACTTGCTCCAGCAGCCGCGCCCACTCACGCTCTGGGGCCGAGGTGGGGCTGGGCGCACCACCACCTACTGCCTGGCGGCGAGCGCCGGCGCCCTCCAGCTCCCGCCGGTGCGAGCTCTTCAGGTGTCGCCACAGCTGTGAAGTTCCCGCCTGCAACCCCGGGCCACGACCCACCTGCTGTCCACATAGCCGGCAGGTGGCCCAGCGGCCCGCTGGGTGTCCGGGACGCACAGGTGCGAGGTGGAAGTACCCCCAGGCCTCGGCGTAGGGCGCCCCTAGGCGGCCAGGGCACAAGTCGCCCTGGGCCTCAGACTTGTCCAGCTCGCTGCTCTCCTCCACCACCAGTGCAGGCTCTTCACTGGGCATGGCTTCTGCAGAGTCTGCAGCCAGAGAGCAAGATGAGTGGGTATTATTATATGCACACAGCGGGGGCCGCGATTAACCCAAGAAGCTCTGCATCCCTTTACTATGCACACAAATCTTACAGATCCCTGGGTCTTCTTGCTCCTTACAGTATTAACGGTGTGGATGCCATGGTTACAAGTGTCTAGACCTTCTCATGCTAGGGCTCCTTTGTGAGACCAAATGACTTTCCATGTAACATTTACACCACTGGGGGTAAGCGAAACTTCCTGAACACAAAGAATCAGCATATGTATGTGTTGTGGGCATAGATTACTTTTAACTAGTTTTCATGTCCTTAAAAAATAAGTTATTTTTTTTAAAAAAAATTGCCTGAACCACACAGTGAGACTGGCTCAAAACAACCATAAAAAAATAAGGCTTTCCTAAAGAACCCAATGCATGATCCTAGGCAAGCTGCTGGGGACATGTCCTGGCAGTGAGAACACCGAGCCTGCAGAGAACCCACCTCAGTGAGCTTGCCAGTGCTTGTGCCAGCTGCCAGCTTCTCAATCAGCGATGGGGAGGTAATAAAGCTCCAGATGCTCTTGGAAGGACTAGAGGCAAGGATGAGAACAAGAAAAACAAACCATTATAACAACTGCATTTAGTAGGAACTTTTAATTCAGTTGCTAATAGTCTTGTTAAAGATGCACTATAATTTTCTAAATCTAATTTATTCTTTTTCCTACTAAGCAAATTCACTCAGGATTAGAGGTATCATTTAACAGATCTCTGGCATAAACAAAACAAAAACAAAAACAAAAAGAGAGAGACAAAGCTGGCAGATTTAGAGCTGTCCAGCACACACCTGCATGTCTATGAGACTGAACCAAAACAAGTGTGTAACTGTATGGTAAGGTGCTGGTGATGGTATGGGGGTGGGGCTTGAAAACAGATGCTGGAGAATGACTAGCTGGTGAGGAGCTCCCACTGAAGGGACAAAGGTGAAAAAGACAGCCCCGGTAAGCTCTGCAGGTGCGGAATACAGCGCTTTGCAGATGGGAGACCTGAGACCAGCCTAGTGATCTGGGGCCAAACAAGAGGTTCCCAGTCATTCCCATGCAGCCAGGGTATAACTGGGAAACCCTTAAGAAAGGTCCTATCATCTAGGTTTACCGCCTGGAGATCAGAAGCCCCTGCTCCTAAGGCCCAAGCATGACCTTGCAAGCCCAAGGAAAGGATTGTTACACAGATGAAGAGAGCTCTGTGTTTGTCATAGGGAGGTCTGAGATATTCCACTTCAATTTAAAATTGATGGTTCAAGCTCTGTTAGGAGGAGCAAGACCAGCTGTTTTGGGGTGGTCACCATACCCACACCTCAGATGGTTCCTGGGGCTCCCTGCAAGCACAGACTATGCAGGTTTGGTCCCTTTCTCTGCCGTGAAGCATTCAGAGAACACAGCACCATGGCTTGGGCATAGGCCACACCTTTAGGTACACTGAGGGTCTTGGGAGTAAGAGGACACTGGCCAATGAGGCCACAGGCACTGACCAGAGAGAAGAGCTCTCAGGGTCGCTCCTACAGTCTCCGTGTCCCCTGGGGCACATACAGAAGCCTCTGGAGTAAACCTGGCTGTGCTGTGGATACCACCACCTCAGTTCTGGGAAGTGCAGTCGGGCAAGAAGCAACCCCCATACTGCCCTCTTCTCTGGCTCAGCCTGTTTGATTAGGACTGAGAAGCAACACACCATACTGCAACCATGTCTGACGCCCCTCACCCCACCCCTTACATGTTAGGCAAGTGCTCACCTACTACGCTACATCTTCGGCCCTTAAAACAAGTTATTTAGGGGCTGGTGGTTTAGCTCATGGAACAAGTGCCTGCTTGGCAAGCACAAGGTCCTGAGTTTAATTCCCAGTACTCCCTCCACCCTACCCCCGCTCAAAAAGTTAGTTATTTAGAGTTAGGGTCTCTTTAAATTGCCCAGGCTGGATTCAAACTTGCAGTTGTTCTGCCTTCGCCTTCTAATTAGTGAGGACTACTCATGCATGCCACTATGCTTGCTGGAAAATCAGAAATTTTGACTTTGGTTTGGCTTGGTTTGGTTTGTGTCACTTTGTTTTTTCTCATTATTTCTTTCATAATTTTATGTAGTTTACATACTTTTAAATTCTTTAATTGCTATTTTTTCTCCCTAATTTTCTTTTTTTAATTATTACTTTTCCTTTTACTAATTATTTATTCTTTTGGTCAATTTCACATTATTACTACTTTTTGTTCTCTATGGCTATTGGTGTTAGAGATTTTGTCTGTAAATACATTTTTAGTGCATGTCTATATCTGGTCTGCTTTTAAATTGTTACAGTAATTGTTAAGGTAAGCTGTTCTCACCTTTTGAAGAAGTGCTGGCAACTGAGCATGCATTTGAACAAGCAGAGTGGGTATTTTGCCCCTGGGCCTTGATGCGGTACCGTGGAGAGAAGCTTCACTTTATTCTATCCATGATCTAGGCCTACTAAAACTTTGTCAGATTCTTAAAAAAATAAAAATTAAAAATAAAAAAAAGGAGATAAAAGTTCTCAGGTGATTCCTGGGCCTGAAGTAAGCATAGATACAAGAAATCTGAAGATACCTAATAAAAATACACCCCCTTTCCAATAATAGGAAAAAATAATATAAATATAATGATCCTACCAAGTAGAAGCCCTATCATAGGTGGCTCCCAAACTTTTTCAGACTGCACAGCACTAACAAGAACTGGAGAAGAAACATAGAAAGCGCACCTCATACACTCTGCTATCTACAGTATACCTAGTTGATCTACTGGGGGACCTTCATTTATATGAATCAGGTTCCAACAGAGTATGCACAGTCAAATCCACCAGTCATAACCTAAAAGCCATGGGAAAACTGTACTGTGAAGTCCATCTGGAATTAAACACAATACTACACAGTAAACAAGTATCCCTGGGCATAAGGTCAAGAGAAAGCTGCTCACTAAGAGACTCACGCGACAGTGGAAGATCTCATAATCTCCATACAGAAAAGCAAGAAAAGAATCAACAAGGCAACATGGCTTCTCCAAAACTTCGTAGCTCTTTAGTAACTGAATTCAAAGATACCAAAGTGGATAGAATGCCATGATCAATCAATTCAAAGATAGAAAATAAAGACCTGAATAAATTAAGTGCAATATTGTAGGATATGAAAGAGCAATTCAGTAAAGATGCATTCTGAAAGAGAAACAGAAATTCTGAATATGAAAACTCAATAATTCAAATAAAAATCTAACGTGAAATCCTAACAGACAAATCAAATGAAATGAACTAGCACTTTTTAAATAGCCATTATGACAACCAATAAAAAGAAGTTATAACCATGGAGCACACTGAGAGACCATACCTAAGAATTGTAGGTTTGTATGCAAGTTGAAATATGGGTTAGTGGTATAGGAAACCTATTCAGAAAAATAAGAGAAAATTTCTAAAATTTTGGCAATGATATGGACATCCAGGTACTGGAAGCATTTAGAACTCTAAATAGAGCTGACCAGACACATTAAGTTAAATTGCCAGAAGTATACAACAAAGAAAGTATATTAAGAATTCCAAAGCAGAAATATCAATCCTATCTGTGTAACACAAGATTTTTCAATGGAAATTCATTAATAACCAACTCATGGAAAAACATATGTTAAGCCCTAAAAAAACCCTGCCAACCTAGATTACTATATTCAGCAAAATTATCCTTGAAAATTAAAAGATATGAAGTATTTAAGATAAGCATAAAGTAAAAGAATTTATGACCACTAAACCAGCATTATAGAAGATACGCAAAGGAATTCTATACTCAGATGGTGAATCAAGATAAATACAACAATAAGAGCATGGGGAAAATAAATCTCATTAGAAAACTAGTTAAGCAAATAAGAGGCAGGAAAGGATAAAACACAATTATTTCAGTAAACCATCAAAATACTAAGATGATTTTTTTAAAAAAAGGAATGAACACAGAATATTTAAAACAGCTGAAAGAAAGACAACAAAATGCAGGAACTAGTACATTTTAGTAATAATCCTAAATGTGGAAGGTGTAAATTTCCAATTAAAATATACAGAGTAACATATTGGATTAAAAAACAAGGCCCAACTATTTGCTGTCTGCAAGTAATCTGACTGCCAAAGACATATACAGACTGAAAGGGAAAGATGGAGAATGACATTCCAATCAGATAGAATTTGAAAATAAGTACTTATACCGATAACCAACAAAGTGACTTCAATCCAAAATTGGTTCAGAGAAGCCACAAAGAAGAGCACTACATATTAACAAAGAGGACAGGATAACAAACATTAACAAACGTTTAGCGAGACGAACTGAAAGGGAAAACACCTCCCCCAAATAGAAATGACTAAAGGAGATACTGATAGAATTGAAATACAGAGAAATCTGTAATAAATGGACAACTTTCCAGATACATCTAATAAAACTGGACCAAAAGGGTATTTTTAAAATGTAGATTAATTCTGAATTGATCTCAGGCAATGAGAGGGAAGCATTAAAAAAAAAAAAAAGTCTCCCAACAAAGAAAAGCCCCGGACCACAGACTAACTTCTGAGCTTTACCAGACTTGTAAAGAAGAATTAACACCACTGGCTCCTCAAACTATCCCATAAACCAGAAAGCGAAGGAATAACAATAACAACAACCACAAAACTATAGACCAACATCTTTGAGGAACACACATACAATATTTCTCAATTAAACACTTTGAAATTGAATTGCAAGTCACATAAAAAAGATCATAGATCATGACAAGTGGGTTTTATTCCAAGCATGGAAGGTTGAGTCAACATATACAAAGCAATAAATATAATATACCACATAAATAAAATCAAAGATAAAATTATATGATTACTCTAAAAGCTATAGAAAAGGGATAGGAAAATTTAATATATCTTCATGATAAAACCCCACAGATTCTGAAAATATTTCCTATAAAATCAGGAATTTGTGCACTTTAGAGCAATTAGGTAACAGAAAGAAATAAAAGGGGTATAACTAGGAAAAGAATTAAAATTATTCCTGTTTGCAGACAATATGATTCTGTAATCTAGAAAATCCTAGAGTCCTGCAAGTCTTAAAAATGATAAACAATTTTTTCAGTAAAGTGGCAGGATACAAAATCAACATGCAAGAATTAATAGGTTTCCCATAATTAATAATGAACTCACTGAGAAAGAAGTCAGTAAAATAATGACAAAAGCTTAAAAAAATTTGACAATGGAGACACTCATGTTCATGGATGGAGAGAAGAATACTGTTTAAATGCCATACTGTTGAAAGCAAGTTATGGATTCCCTACTAAAATACCAATTCTATTTCATTCTTCATAAAACTAGAAAAAACAATTCTAAAATTCATATGGAGGCACAAAAGATCTAAAATAGTTACAGCAATTGTAAGTAATAAGAACAATTCTGGAGGGATCACAATACCTGGTTTCAAAATATACTATAAATCCACAATAACAAGAATAATATGTTATTGGCAGAAAACCAGATACTCAGATCAGTGGGACAAGCTAGAGGGCCCAGGAATAAACCCAGGCATCTACAACCACATAACTCTTGACAATGGAGTCAAAAATCTAAACTGCAGAAAAGACAGCCTCGTCATTAAAAGGTTCTGGGAAAGCTAGGTAGAATAGTGAAAGTAGAATCTTGTCAGCTGTGTACAAAAATCAACTAAAAATGCATCAAGGACTTTAAGACAATATTTAAAAACATAGGAGAAACATTTCAAGATACTGGAATAGGCAATCATTTCCTGAACAGGATTCCAATAACTCAGGAAATAATAGCAAGAATTGATAAGTGGTATTGTATCAAATTTTAAAAACTTTTGCACAGCAAAAGAAATACTAGAGTGAAGAGACCTTTTGTCCATTATCCATATACCACTGAATTGATATCAAAAATATATAAAGAACTCAAAAAGTAACATCAAAAAAACCTCCCAAGTAATTCAGTCAATAAGTGAAGATATGAACTGTATGAACTCCTCAAAAGAAGTATAAATGACCAGTAACTATAAAAAAATGCTCAGAATCTTTAGTTGTCACAGAAATGGGAATCAAAACTACACTGATATTCCAATTTATCTTAGACTGGCTGTTGTAAGAAAAATACCATATTTTGACAAAACCTTATACACTGTCTCTGGGAATGTAAATTAGTATATCCACTCTGGAAATCAGCATAGAAGGTCCTCAGAACACTACATATAGATTTACTGTACAATTCAGCTATACCACACTTGTGTACAATACCTAAAAGAATCAAAGTTCACATAAGAATAGAAATAGCTGTATTCCCATGTTTATCATGGCATATTTACAATAGCCAAAGTTTGGAATCAGCCTAGGTGTGCATCAAATGAATAAAGAAAGCATGGTATGTTTACAAAATCAAGGATTATTCTAGTCATGAAGAAGATTAAATTCTGTTATTTGTATGAAAATGGGTAGAATTGGAGATCATCATGTAAAGAAAAATATGTCAGACCCAGAGAGACAACTTTCATATATTTTCTCTCATGAGGTGTGATTGAGAAGGACGGCTAGTGTGTAAGCTAAAATTTATTAAGTAAATGACACATTTCCACTAACACCACTCCATATCATCCTACTTGCTTCAGAGACACTTATCCCATCATTTTTGCCACTTTCTGAAGCAGTTTTAGAATTCTTCTTTTATGAATGTCTTTAGCTGTACAATAATGACCGCTTCCATATTCTTAATCAGTTTCAAACATTTTCCTTTCATGGTCATTTTTTTTTGAAACAGGGTTTCATTATACAGTTCAGGCTGGCCTTGAACTCATTTTGTAGCCCAGACTGGTCTTGAACTCACAATGATCCTCTTGCTCAGCTTCCGAGTGCTAGGATTACAGATGTGTGCCACCACACCCAGCTTTTCATGGTCATTTTGTCTCTAGAGAAGAACCAGAAGTCGCATGGTACCAGATCTAGTGAATAAACTGGAAAAGGTCTCATTGTAATGTTTTTTGAGCCTGCAGTTCCATTAGATGGCACCTGAATATCTGATCGCATCTAAGTCACTGACAAGAGGACTTCCAGAACTGTTTCAGAAAGTGGCAAGCACAATGGGATAAGCATGTTTGAAGCAAGAGTTAATATTCTGAGGGGCCTTCACGGCAATGTGTCTCTTATAGTATTACATTTTTAATATAAACGTTCATTATGTATTGCGATCACACCTTGCATGTAGAATCTAGTGGGAACGGAGAAAGGGTGGGGAGGAGATGAGAAGAAAAGGGCAGATAAAAGTAAAAGGGCTAAACAGGGAAGAGGAAAGAGACCAGGGACGGGGGATAATAAAAATGGCTATGTATATATTTTCTGACACATAGGCACTGATATATTTACTCATAATAACTTTTAGAAAGGTTTTAGAAATTGAATTCTACATTTTAGAGGTTTTAGAAATTAAATTCTACATTTAAGAGGTTTTAGAAATTAAATTCTACATCTCCTTCAAGAGATTTATTAAATTAGTCATCTCAAAAGTAGGAGTAGGTGGGATGAAACTTGAAGGAATTTTTTTATAGTCAGCTAACATTATGGTTCTGTAGCATTATGGTTAGTAAACACCACAAAATCTTAAAAAACATTTTTAATGATTCAACACTACCTAATATTTTTTCTACATCTTTTTTATTTTAGAATTCCATTTCCTTCTACATTTAATCTGATCTTTTCAAAGTCCCTTTTTTATTACTATTAGAGATACACAAAAGTAGAGACACTTGCTACGATTAGTTGTGATTTATTTCATAGCTTTAAAGAATAAGTTTAAACTTCCCAGTCACATCAAGACCATGGCTCTGGGTTTGGATATGCTTTGTTGAGTCAGGGCTCGCAGACCGCAGTGACTTACTGATTCTCTCACCTGTGCCCACTCTGAGTCATTATTATCGCTGGAGGCAGCTCACCCCGCCAGCTGGGACTGCTGCTTTCATGCACACATCGTACATCCATACAAGGTGCCTCGGGGATTCTCTAAAATTCCCGGATGCCAAGAGGAGTGCTGCCCAAGTGAACGCCACCCATTATATGAGTTAAAGTGGGCACAGAGTGAAAACACCGATTCTTTGTCTTACTCTTTGGACTTGGCAGAAAAACTCACCTGAGCCAGGCATGCACAGCACCATAAATGTTGACCAAGACAGTGCTGTCCCTCTGAGGGTAGCAAAGGGACATTCTCTGCCTGGGCAACCGTTTGCTGTCGGAGGCCTTAACCGGTGGAAGGCAGCATGGTGCAGAGCTGCCTCACTTTCTCAGACCCCCACACTGGCTGTGATCTGGCTCAGTATGATCTGCTCAGAATAGAAAGTCAAAGAGTGATGAGTACAGTCAGTGGAAGACAGTTCCTGAGCTCATCTCAACTGCTGTGACTACACAGCAGGAGGGACCTGAAAGTCAACTATCTGGCTTAGTAGAAGAGCCTCTAGGGCTCCTCGGTGTTCCAGCCACAGTGGAACACAGAAGACTTACAAACTGACACAAGAAAGCCAAGCCACCCAGTAGAAAAACAGGCAAGAATGTAAGTAGCAAATAACCTGAGACCACGCTGAAACAGCCAGCAACTTTGTGAAAAGACACACATGTCTTATATCCAGAAATCTGCTGAGTATCAATAAGGCATCACCTCATATCCATCATGCTAGCGAAAGTGAAGAGGTCTAAGAGTCAACATGAGAAGGGAGGCGGAGAGGAGGGTACATGAACACATGATTAGTGAAGATGTGACGACTTTTAGGAAAGTACTCTGGCAGTTTTCAGATGTAACATCTCTTGTAGAACTGTGAATACACACAGTCATGCTTCAGTATGTCAACTGCAGCATTATTTACAATGGTAAAAGATAGAGGCAGGAGAATGGCTAAGTATGTAATGTTTGTTCACAGCAAGGACTATTATACACCCATTTGGAAAGACAAAAGCTCTGCCAGGTATAAAATGGAGGGATTTCATAACATTCACTTTTATAATATGATGTCTTTATTATTAAATAACACATAGATCTGTATAGGGAATACAAAGATACAGATGTTCTTCAACTTATAACAAGGTTGTACTCCTATAAACCTATCAAAAGTTGAAAATTTTGTAAGTGGAAGATGCATTTAATACAGCTAACCTGCTGAACATCTTTGCTCAGCAAATGTTTCATTTAAGAAGAGAGTGCCTAGGATTCCTGCACATTTGGGGCCACTGAGGGAAGTGTATCAGAGCTCAGCATTCAGACACTCAGAGACCACTGCAGCCACAGTTGAAGGGGGCCAGCTACTGCTCAAACTAGCAGCCCACCGTGCCATCAGCCATGTGGTGCTGGTCTTTCAGGAATGAAGAATGCAAGACTTATGGGATCAGGAACGCTTACACTCAGATTTCAGATTTGTCTGGCTTACACCCAGACAAAAATACATGACAGGGTTACAGTCCCTACCAAGTACTCCTGAGAGGGTGATGCATGAAGCTGTGACAGTGAAGCCAGAAATGCAGTGGAGACTCTTTGAGAAGTTAAAGATGCCAGGAATATGCATCATCTGCTGAGGAAACTCACAGACAACAAGCAGAGCCAGACCAAGAGAAAAACCGTATGGGATGCAACCAGCAGTGCTGCAGGGGTTGGGCTATCCAAGCCCTTTGAAACTCACATTTCACTACAGTCTACCATGGGTGCTGGACATGTAGTTGTAAGATTTTAACGATTGAGCTGCTTGTTTTCAATTTTCTTTTGGTCAATTTCTGTCTGTTTCCCTACTCATTCCTTTTGGGATGGGAATTTTATCCAGTGCCATTGCATGCTGGAAGTGCTGAGTTTTCTTTTTGATTTTCACAGCAGCTTCTGAGCCTTTAGTCTCAGAAGTCTTTGGACTTGGACTTTTCAGAAATGCTGGAACTGCTAAGACTTCAACAACTATTAGAAATGGACTAAATATACTTTGCATAGTGAGATGGACATGAGATTCTTGGGGGTCAGAAATTGAATATTATGGCTTAGATCTAAAATGTCACCCAAAAGTCTCACATTTGGAGGTGGGACATAATCAGAATATGTAGGTCATAGACGCATGACTTGAGAGGGTGCATTCTCACCTCAGGATCCTCTCTTCTCTGTTTCCTCGCCACTATGCAGGGAACAGCTTCCCTCCACCATGGTATTTCTGCTTTGGAGCCAGCTGTATATGAAGTCCACTGACAAGTTTTTCCCTTTGTGCAGGTTAACATGGCATTGGACAGCACCTCCCTTTGGCACTGCACAGCACCTCCCTTTGGCACTGGACAGTGACTCTCTGCGTTCTCTTGAACCCCAAAGTCAAATCTCCCACTTTTTGCGTGTGCTCCAATGCTCCTCCAATCAGCTGTCAATATGTCATTCTGCCCCCTTTAACATTGTCCCTGTCAATTCCAAATAAAGTCTGCGGTTTTTTTCTTAAACTTTCCAGAGGGTGCTTGAGTCTCTTTGGCAGCCCTCCCATACTCACAATAAAGACTTCTTTATCTTTCTTTCTTTCTTTTCTGTTTTTTCTCTTACATAGAAGACCAAATAGTTGATGCCATGTTAAGACTAAAGGAGGATGGGAGCTGTTGCTCCTGAGGAAGTCTATCCCCTGGTCTGAGCTCCCACCACCCTATGAGCTGCTCTCTCTCTTTCAAGCTTTCTTTTCTCTCTTGTGGTGAATGTCCACCACTGCTGTTACTAGCCACCACCCACCCAACACTGGCCCAGCCTCATCTCTCCAGGTTCTCACAGGTGAGCCAACTCTTGCTCAGGGTGCCTGTCTCTTAAGTTGTGGGCCCACAACAGGACACTACCTCACTTGTCCTTCAGGACTATATTCACCCTTGGGCTTCCCTTTTGTTTCTGCTGATGACGACTAGTGGTCACAATTGTTGGGATCTTTACAAAAATACACTCCTGGGGCTGGGGATTTAGCTCAGCGGCATAAGTACCTGCCTTGCAAGCAGGTGGTTGTGAGTTCGATCCCCAGTACCAATAAAAACGAAAAAGACAAAAAAAAAAAAAAATGCACTCCTGTGGTTGGTGATGACTCACCATAGGTCTGTGACCCATTTTCAATGACTCATTTCTAATTTGGTTATGGGAAATACTCATTCCCTACCAGAAAACCCCATTCCTCTTGGATGCCTCTTATGCCATCTGAGCCCTTCGGGCCTAAAACAAGTGATTAGATCCAAACAACTTATTCTCCAGTGCCAAACTTCTTGGCCTATGTACCCTCTCAACAATGCTGAGTGATGGCCAGAGGAAAGTACTTTTGATTATGATACCATTTGGGATCTAGATAACTACTGCTACTGTAATGGCAAGTGGGGAGAAATTCCCTATGTTCAGGCCTTTTTTTTTTTAAATCTCCAGGCACATCCCAACCTTACTCAGGCCTGTAAAGTGACTCAAATCCTTTTGGCTTGCTCCATGGGCTCTCCTCCCCTTTCCACTCAACACTGTTACCAGGATCTCCCCTCTTCTCTCCCTGATCCTATCAATGAAGTTCCTTCTGTCCTTCCTCCTCCATACCCACTGGAGCCTTCAGCCCGCACCCTTCATCACCATTCCCCTCTTCGGCTGATCCTCAACCCTCCTCCCCATCTCCTCTCCTTGGCCACCATCAGCCTCCCCTCTCCTCTCACCTCCACTGCACTCTCTTGCTTCACCCCCTCCATCTCAACTCCCTCACACCTCCTACAACAGCTGAGGCCTCTCTGTCATCTCTTTATCCTCCCTTCACTTCTGCTTTCTTCCCCCCATCCCCCGTCTTGTCTCCACCATGGTTTTCTGTCCCACAACCCTCTCACTTTCACGTACTCTCCCATCCTTTCCCTCCGTCTCTCCTCCCACCCATCACACACATTCTCATAGGGCCTTCCCCTTGCCTTCCTCTGTCATCATCAACCAGACGTCAGCTTTACTGCTCCCAACTGCTCTGCCTCCACCCCTCAACTTCTCCTCCCACTTAGTGAAGTTGCTGGTACTGAAGGTCTCTTCCATGTTCACGTTCCTTCTTTACAGCTGATATCTCACACATTTTGGTGAAGGCCCTTTTTACTTCACAAAACAACTCTAATTCATTTTTCAGGCATATAAATTAACTTATGAGGATATTCAAGTTGTTTTCTCCACCACCCTCTCTCCCACTCAAAAACCAGAACTATGGATAGTGAGTGGCTCAGGTGGTTGTGGATGAAAGACAGACTAAACCAAGAGTTTCCTATTAGTCATGATGCTATTCCCAACCAGGACCCTAAATGGAGCTATCAGCCTCACACTGATGGCTCCAAACATGTAGCCCAAATGACTAAATGTCTTATTCAGGGCCTCCACAAAATTTCTCACAGACGGGTTAACTATCGAAAATTAAGAGAACAAATCCAATGTGTGGAAGAAAACCTGGTGGCATTTATGACTTGGCTTACTGAGGCCCTTACTAAATTTACTGATGCAGTCCCTGCAATACCTGAGGAAATTATTCTACTTAATTTTCACTTCATTTCCCAGGTGGCACCAAATATACAAACCAAATTTTTAAAATCTAATCTAGGCCCTCAAAAGGATCTCTCAGATGCAGCCTCCCATGTTTTTAACAATAGACAGCAACAACTTAAATAGGACAAACTAGAAGAACGCAAATTACAAGCTAAATAGGATTTAGAAAAAATTAGACTTCAGGCCAAACTCCAGGGTCAATTTTTCGCTGAGGCACATGGGGCTTGGAGAGATGCACTAACTGGTGAAATTGCTAATACAACCTCTAAACCTTGTTTCCAATGCAACAAGGAAGGACAATGGGCATGAGCTTGCCCTCGCCCGAGGCCTCCTCTGGGACCAGGTCCCCTCTGCAATCAAGAGGACCACTGGAAGGTGGACTGCCCTATCTGCCACATAGTGGGTAAGTCATCAACTTTTATGCCCTCACAGGAGCCAACTGCCACCTCCATCTCTGGGTCCACTGCTGACAGATCTGCTCAGATTTACTGCTGGAGAAGATTGAAGGGACTCAGAGTCTACAGCCCCCACTACGGTGACTCTCTCAGAACCCCAAGTCTCACTGGACATCTCAGGTAAAAAACTTTCTTTTCTTGTCAACATGGGCTAAGTACAGTGTTATACCTGAGTTTTTAGGCTGGTGCTCTCAGTCACGTGTTTCTGTTGTGGGGATTTGATGGTAAACCAACATAGCCTCTACAGATGGACCTCATTCCCTATCAATTTCAAGACTTAGTCTCCACACAACGTTTTAGTCATCCCAAACTGTCCCGTGC